AGTCTGCCCTGGATATCAGAAGGTGATATATCGAACTAAGGGGGTAGAATGCGAAGCCTGCTTAAATTGGTTCCACTTAAGTTGTAGTAAGATATCGGAATCCGATTACGCGAACATTGCTACAACAGTCTGGTTTTGCAGGACATGCTTGAAACAACAATAAACGGACCGGTCCGAGACGTGGGTTTAAATTTCTTTTAGATACGTGGATGAGATTGTTAGAACTATGAGGGGCAATCTTGAGGTAGTACTGTAGACTGCTAAAAAATTGGATTCAAGTTTTAATTTACTAAAGTACACTAAAATGAGTTATGGTAGTTTGGCCTTCCTTAATTTAAATGTGAATGTTGGCTCACAAAAACAGGTCACATATGGATGGTGCCAAAAGTTCACTGATACCGATACTTCTCTCAATTTAAAATGCTGCGTCCTTTTGCAGTACAAACAAAATTAATTGAAGGGATGGTCTGTCGACTTCTTAGAAGTACCTCAACAGGGGAAAAATTTGACAAGGTATTGGGAAAAACCGGAAAGAATAGATTGAAAATTAGTATTCGGAAAAATGATCGGATTGCATACTATTCAAAACTGTTAAAGATATCCATGAAGGAAAGTAAGATTCAGCGATTCCGCCATCAATATAGAATAATGAGGACTGGTGAAATGATTCACCCCTTGTTTTGACATTAAAATATCGAGGTAATCCAGCGCAACTTTTACTTGCCAAAATGCGCCAAATGTCCTGGGCACTAATCTTTTTTACTACCAGAAAATGAAAAACGTGCGTGTCATCACTCAAAACTTCCTTTGCTCGTGAACTTAAAGCCAAACAGTGCGGCATATAGCTACGAGGATGGACGACTATGAAAATAGAACTTCCCAGTACGACAGCATTTGCATGACTGGTAGGGAGGCTGTAGAATAGCTGAGTTAAAGTTAGAGATTATAGACCAACGAGGTGACACTCATAAAGTACTCACACAAGAGTTCAAGATACGGGAACCAATACTAAAACTGTAGTCTTTGTATAATCAAGGCTTAAAAAATGCAAATAAACATGTCGGGTTTAAAAAGAGAATCCTGAAACGAACTTTTATGGACGAAAAAGATCAAAAACCTAAAACTTTTTTTATTGATTACATAATTTATTATGTAATTACAGTTGCAGGAATTTGATTGGTCAAACTTTTGTCAGTGTCTTTCAGACAAGTTTGTCACTTTTTTTTAATCTTAGCTCATTTTGTATATTGTGTATAAAAAGTTTAAATCCTGATGCACAAATTGTGCAAAAACGTTTGAATTAGCATTTTGAAATTCTTATCAAGACTAAAAATGAAGTCTTTCTGCCCGGTTTGAGATGGGGATATCCAGTCAAAAATCATGTATGCAGATTCTCGAGACTCTTAACCTGATGCCTGCTTAGGATATAAATTCATATCTCGGTTTGTTGCAAGTTATAAAATTGGTTTTTTGAAACGAACAAGTATTTTTTTTTCAAAAAGCTACAGATTGCTTTGTTAGTATAATCAGTAGTCATCACAGAGACTGTAAGAATCAGCGCAAACAACAAAAAAAACTCTTTTTTGTACATACAGTTTTCGGCAAATATGGCAGTGGTTGATTTACTGCGCCAATAATTAGCAATTCGCTGTAGTGAGAGAATGGGGAGGGGTCTATTCTCATGATACGCTGAATAGTTTTTCACAAAATCCAAATCAAAGTTAGAAGAAAATTAAATGCTTAGCAGTACAGCAAAGTTTTGCTTTACAATTTTTGCAGATGTACCATAGTTTTTTTAATATATATATTTTAAAATTTGGTTTCATTTTTTTTCCAATACCTGACTTCGATATTTGAAAACATGTATCTGGTTATTTTCCAATTGATATGGAATATCTGCTTATTTGCTTTCTTTTGCGGTTTCTGTATAATTTTAACTACTCATTTTTGATTGACTGAAATTAACCATCATTCGGTCCCTCCATCACTAAGGACGCCTCCAGAAAATGGCACTTAACTAACTGATTTTTTGTCTCAAATATTGATATGGTTATTCGGCGTCCTCTCAAAAATTGCTCTAGATTAAGTGCTCTTAATTGAGTTTCAATTAATTAAGGGCTTATCCCTGCCTATCTCGCTTTGGCTAAACTCTTCTAATTATTGACTATTGCTAAACAAGTTGTGTAGAATTCATCCGATCCATTTAATTGAGCATGTATCAGAATCTAGCTTATCGGAGCAGCAGAAAGGTATTGACCCATTACTCTTAAGGTGATATAATTTTCGAGCCTCATTTTCAAGCAAGGCGCATAACTTTGAATATTTTAGCAGCCTTTAGAGACTACAAGTCTCACGCTATCGGCATATAAGGTTCAGGCTATCGGCCTACTAGTCTCAGTTTAGCGGGCCATAAGTCTCAGGCGATTGCCTGACAATCTTTCAGGCTATCGGCCTACAGATCAAATATCACGCCATCGGCCCAGAAGTCTCAGGCCATTGGCCTACAAATCGCAGTCTATCGACCATCCAGGGACTATCTGACAACGCGATGTTTAACTCTCAAAACTTTGTCGAGGTTGAACTTTGTATGATTGCAGTTCACCATTTTTGAACTCAAAAAGACGGCAGAGATTTTGAAATCCAATAGGACAAAATTGATTAATCTATTTGCCATACTTAGAAAATAGCAATTTAAGTGTTGGTATTTGGAGAACAATTTTTTTTTGAAATTATGGTCGTGCAGAAGATGGTTACACTTCACAAAATTTTCTTACACTTAACTATTTTAAATATCCTGTGTTACAATTGACTACTTAGTTAAAAATAACTCACTTGACAATGGGTTACACTTAACTATCAACTTTATTTTGAGCTTTTTTTAGTATATCGAGCAAGTTAAAGCTCTAGTTTTATCGCTGCCCTGAAAGCGAAAAAATGATCGGCGTGAAATTTGTAATAACTGTTTTTTCTATTTTGTTTAAGAGTCGATGAACGTATTGAAGACTCTTATATAGGTCGTGATGTTTTTTTCACGCTCAAAATTATATTTTTTGCGGTTTAATGTTTTTTTTTAAATTTTACTCATTTTCTTGTTAATTGATTTTGTGCATCCGGAGCAGAGGCAGAAGTGTTTGTTTTTTGGGCATGTTTTCTGAATTTTAATTGAAATTATTGTAAAATGTTTTTTTCTGACTTAGTGGTCATCTGTGTAGAATATTTGAGTTTCGTTGCATTAAAAATTTTTCTGTAGCGGATTTTAGTGGATTTTGAAAACGATGATTTTTTTCAGCCGTGATCTGAATTTGTGATCCGCCTTCTATTCAATAAAGGACAAACCGTGGGTATTCACTGAAATTGGGAACTAATTAACGACATCTATTTTGGGTAGCTAATTATAAGTTAAATTTTTAATACCGAACGTTACTCGCTCGAAATTGAACTAAAATTGAAACTAAAACTGGGTCAATTTGTTGAAAATTTGTTCAAGTTGTTCAAATAACGACTGAAATGGCCTTAATTTTATATATCACTTGAACCATTCCTATGATTATTTGTGTTATTATCCGAGTCATTTCGTATCGAGGGTGATTTTCAAGTTATCCCTCTCTTTCTTTGTTTTTTTTTGCCGTTTCGTGGAGCTGCACATTGAGGTTTTCACTGTTTTACGAATTTCAGCTTTACCTCTGGCTCAATTTTTCTTACTTCAACGCAAATTTTTATAACGTTTGCAATCAGCAAGCATTATCATGTCGGAAAGTTGACTTGTTTGGAGTTAACAACTAGTTTAACCAAATCAGTTGAATCACTTGCTCAATCAGCTGACATGCTCAATTTTATGAGAATTCAAATTTAACTACTTGGTAGAAACTAGTTAATACAGGGTAGTTTCAGTGAAGACTTGAGTTTTCTTAAATGTTTTTTACATAATTAGTTTTTCGGCTAACTGGTGTCTGTTCAAAGATTGTCGGCCTTGTTTCTGCTTCGTAAGTTTTTTCCAGATGCTAATTTGTATTTCAAATGTCTTGCTTGGAATGTTTGCATAGAATACCTGTTTGATAAAAAAGGTATTATGAAAGTGTAAGAGTTTTGTATTTTTTTTGAGACGCTTTGGAAAATTTAAATTCTTTTTGCAAAAATAAATATATTTTTTTTTCTCAAAAACCTTTCAACCGATTTTCAAAAAGGACATTGATAGAAAGCCCGCCTACATCTTTGTGTTTATGCAAGCTCCCTGGTCTCTTTTGGCTTGACCCCTTAGTCTACAGCCTTCGTAAAAGTCTGTGGGGAATATTTGACCAATATTCTTAGTTTTGTTTTCTCAAAAGCTAACCTAACAAATCCGAGTTTTTTGTTTCAATGAATAGTGAGGATTTGAAAATCTCCCCACCATAAGCGCTAAGACCAAACTTTTGTTTTAAAAAAATGGCTCTCGGGATAGTTACAATTTTAATTTTTTTGACCTTTTTGTTTTAAAAAAAATCTTTTTGACTTTCCTCAAAAACTAACCTCTCAAACCTGAGGTTGTGGATTCAGTGGAGATAACGGGCAGTGAGAAGTTCCCCTGCATTAGAGGTTACTCTCAAATATTTTTACACAAAATGTTTTTGTCCTCTGAAATGTCAGTTGTTTGATTTTTGACCTTTTCGAAATTTTATGAGTTTTACCAAAAATTACCCTCTCATATCTGGGATTTTGGGTTCAATCCAAAGAACGGGTCGTGGGAAGGACCAACTCGTTTGATTGCTAATCTACATTTTGAAGAGTTTTCTAATTTATCAGCTGAAATTGCAATTCGATTTACAAGACAATCAGAATTGGTTCTAGTGAAAAATCTTCCAAATAAAACAGAAATTGAAAGGTTTTGCATTCGGGTTGGTCCAACAAAGCTTTCAATTCTCCTATGAATTAACCCAAAAAATTGCTTCGTAACAAATATTGAAATATCGTTTGTGCTGCTTGCATAGCAACCGGCTATTCTTGTTGCTTTTTGCATAGGCATAATGTCTAATAAATGTTTCAGAGGATCAATGGGAATCTTTGAATACATGACTCCACTATGGAAGATCAAGCAGGGAGACAACATGCGCTATCTTTTGTTTGTTGAGAACTGGAACTATCAGCAGAGACCACGTGTGCAAAGAGTGAGCAGACCGAAACGGCCTGAGAAGGCGACTGAGTTGGGATACAAGCCGCAAGAGGGCTACTTTATTTACCATGTCCAAGTCAGGCGAGGAGGCAGGAGGAAATCGAGACCGCTGACTGGAGACTCGACTGGGCCAAAAGCGCACCAGCAGATGGCAGAAACCAAAGCTAACAGGTTTTTTTTTAAAATTCTGAATGAAATAAGAAAGAAGTTTTGAAGTCAAGATTGTAAATATGAGCAGATATATCCTTTTGCTTATGTGGATTTTTTTCACGGATGTTTTATCATTGTGTGGTGAAAACCGTGGATTGGGTGGGCTAGAATTAATTTTTTTCTTGGTTTTTCAGTATAAAGAAAGCGTCGGTTTCATGCGTCTAATGGACTTAATTAAGTAAAGAGCGAGATAAATGACCAGAGCATTGCAGTTTAAGATCAACCTAGCTCAACTCTAGAAGTCTATAGCTTCCAAATTTGGCGTTTTGCACAGTAATTGGGAGTTTTGATTATAGACACGTGAAGACTTTGAAAGTAATCGACTCTTACTGGGTGAGTCAAGATGGAACCTACAAGTACTACGAAGTTCTCATGGTGGATCCCTCTAACGACAATGTCATGCGAGATTACAACGTAAAGGACATCCTGGCGAGACGTAGACGCGAGAGAGCGGAGGTTGCCGGACGCATGATCAATAACAACCTCTCCCCTCCTAGAGGTAGATTTGGGGGTCGTGGTGGGGGTTTCCCTTACAGGGTGGGCTACCAAGGGGGGTACCCAGGAGCAGGACCATCTTCCAGGTATAGTTCACAGTCTTCGTCATCATCCAGAAACCATTTCTCTGCTTCCAGATCACGTGACATTAGGTCAAGTTCAAGTTACAGTCAGCGAAGTTCCACAAAGTGGTAGGTAGTGTTTAACTTCAGTGAGACGACTGGTTTAACTCTGAAATCGGACCGCGAGAAAGAAATCGGCTGTTCAAGAAAAAATGTATGCCAGGTTGAAAAACTATAAACTATAAGTTTTCTTCAGATGGTGATCTTGCTCAGCTTAAGCTGAGCTTCGATGTAGAATTGATCAAGCCTGATGCTCGAAAGAATAAAAGGGTGCGTCGAATTATCTGTTAAACCTCTGTTCATTATTTTGTTAATTATTCTCTATTGAAAATTTGAAATTTCTTAAACTTGGTTTTAATTGTTTACTTAGATGTGCAATATTTGGTTAACTGCAAATAACTGTGATTCTCTTTCAGATGATTTTTTGTTGATGTGTTGAACTTGTAAATGAGGCGGAATTTGAAATGGCTTTCTCGGGAGTATTTCTAAATATAGTCGTTTTGCTGGTTGTTCTTCGAGTGAAAATTGTTGATGCAAAGGAAAAACCCCTACGGAATAATGAGCCCATTGAAAGCGAACCTGTTCTACCTGAAAGTGGGCAGTTAGATCAACCCGACGAAGACAAACATTTCAATGCTTTTGTCTCGACATTCCTAACGAAAAGGAAGGAACAGAAACAGATCGTACAATATATTAAAGGTTGGTATGTGCCGTCTTTGATGAGGTATGCTCTTGTTTTAAGCATTTTAAATTCTGAATTAGCCTTATCGTTGTGATAAACTTCATCATCATTGTAATTCATCATCATTTCCAGCATTGATTTTTTACTGGCACACTTCTGGATCTTTCTACACTTTACACAAGTCGACAACCATGCTTTTCATGATACTGATTCCTTCTCAAAACTAACTTATGTAGAAAAAGATAATTACTATCTTCAGATATACAATCCGAACGATATCACCAAATAATTCTGGTCCAAATACCGAAGGAGTCAGAGCTCCTATCGATTTTGTAACTATTTCGGCCGATACACAAAACTTGATTTTCTGTTCAAATTCTTTTAGCTGAATTCGACTCAGAGAGCAGCTCAAAGAGGTGAGGGAAAAACGTATTTTTTTTTTTGAAAAAATCGATTAAACAGTTTTTTTTTAAATGGTTTGTTCAGTTGGCGGTAAAGACACGCAAGTTTGCCACATTTTTTAAGCCTCCATTTAGCTTCTTAACTTTCCATGCGTAATTTCTGTCGTTGAGAACAATCTTTCCAATCCAGCTGAGTTGGGAACATCAGAAACCAAATCTAGTGCAACATCAACCAACGCTTTTTCGAAACCTAGCCTCTTTCCGCTTTTCCACCATGATAACGGTTTTACTTTTTTTGAAAATAACTTTCATTGTACGGTTCTTCTCGAGTCATGTACTTAGTGACCTCTCCCATGACATTTTCGTCAATTGAGCGATTTTCGTCTTTTTTGTGTCATCAGCGTCTAACTTTCTGCCCGATGATTAACAGATATGCGGCAAGAAAAACGGGAGTCAGATAATCATCTCTTATTTTTGCTACAAAATCTTTAAGATGATCCGGTGAAGCATTTTAGAGATCGAGATAACATTCCAAGCAGTCTCCCAAATGAATTGATTCACTCTGAAGGTTGTTCAAAGCTTTTGTTTTAAGTTCAAGAAAGGCCAGCAAATTTTAGCATTCTCTCCTCAGCTGATTTTCTTCGGTATATCGGTATACTTTGTCCGTGCTTTTTGCAACAGTGGGAACGCATAAACGCAATGGATTTAAAATGCTTCTCATAATGAGCGATTTATGGATTTCCATCTGGTTTCAATAGGCATTGGTGGCTTTGGAATGCCGAGTTAATTCAGTTCCGCAAGTGCCAAATGATTATGTCGCACAAATTTTGCTACATCTGATACTTTGGTTGTCACCAGTTTTGTTTCGGTCTGACTCGCAATGTCTTTTATCAGCAAATTGACGGCATGGGGCTGACATCCACAGGTTTGAACAGGTTTTTCAGACAAATTTTTTGTTCATTTTCAATTTATTTGCCGCATCTTCAAATACGAGACAAGATATGACAACTCCCCACTGTTCCTCGTATTTTGTGATTCGCGCTTTACCAATTTCAGGAAGGTTTTCGGCAGTGTGAGACGATCCCGTTGTATCCAATAAATCAGCCAGATAAGAACGATTGGCTGTTGAGAAAGCCACTTCTCTAATTGGGTTATTGGTGACATTCGACGATCCATCATTAGACAAAGTTGCCGTGAATTCATTTTGCAACTTTTTATTTGTCAGTCTCGTAAGTTTTGTCAAGAAGATGGCCAGCAACTTGTTTTCTTCCAGGAATCGACATGCCTGGGCGCAACAGCGTAATCAGCTTCATTTTCAACTGTTCGGAAGGGTGGGTTCATAGCTATAATAGCACGGGTAATTTGAATTTCAGTTTGCTTTTGAGAGGAAGGTGCAGTAGTTTGTTCCGAAATGACCGACTGCTTGAGTTTTGAGGGAATCGGAGTAGCCTGGTCATTATTTTCGCCGTGTCGTTTTCTACCTTCGCATCTCCCAATTGTCTTTCATTCGTCGTTCAAGCTTACTGCATTGATATTCGCATTTGGTGCATCGTGTTTGAATAAGCACAAATTTGTTCCATATTGCATCTTTGTTCGACCCATTTGTTGACCTGAAAGATAAACGCACATTGAAACAGTGTAACAGAAGTAAGTAGTTAGTGAATGAATGAATGAAATTGAATTAACAATAATTACTGAGCAACATACGTAAACGTCATAATATTCAAGCAAACAACCGCATCTAATTAAAGACTGTAGTGCAGTTGGGAAGGGAAAATGCTAGTTTTTTACGATAAAAGTTTTAAATTGAAAAACAGTTTTTTCTTTTCTGTTTTAAAACGTGTTTTTTGCCTTGTTTGAAAACATGTCTTAAAACATTCCTAGCCCTGGAATTCATTCTAACCGGAGGTCCTTCTTCAATGAAAAACTTTATCTATTAAGTAAGTATAACAATGTTGAGCTCAAATCAGTCTTTTTTCAGGATGGCCTTGATTCCTTGACGAGCGAAACCCATGAATCAGTTGATGCAACTGGTGTTAACCATAACTATGTTTGATTTAGCATTTACGTGCCCAAGGAATGTGGAGTTTGGTTTTTTATACATGTTAAAGCAATGGAATTTCATCAACTCCATGAGAAATACAGTGAAGCAAACTATTCAGGTAAATGAATTGCGGAACTCATTTGGTAATTTAATCAAAGAAATTAGAAAGAAAGTTGACTTCCGATACTAGGAAGTCAAGGAAAGTTGACTGCCTAGACTTCCTAATTAAAGAAATTAGAAAGACAGTTGACTTCCTATACTACAAAATTAGGAGGGCGTCTTATAAATTACACAACCTCCTCTTTCAATGCCCACTAAATCTACTTTTCTGAGAATTGATACCAATATGTTCCAGTTCAGATATGTTACTCGCAGAGAAGTTATTGGAGCGATATGAGTGCTTCCCATTGAAAAGTCTTCAAGATCCAGTAAAATACCTCTTTGGGCTACATACCATCCTCGAACAGAAATTGAGAAATCTTTGTTTTGGACTAGCACCCCTTGATCTTGTAAATTCATTGCTAAAGAACGGACAGCAGAAAACAATCGTAAAATGTGCATATTCAGATTGGCTCAAGTTTGAGCAAGGTGTCCCTCAGGGTACTGTACTGGGACATTTGTTGTTTCATTTAATGATTAATGATTTGCCAGAAACTCTAGCCAAGTCATGTACTCTTGTAAGGTTTGCCGATGACACAGAAGCAAAAATAATGAAACCCAGTTTCAACAAAAAACTACCATATTTTCACTCAAATCAATTAAATATCAATGTAGTCAAAACTCAGTTCTTCTTTTTTCGGATACATCATAAAAAAACTGATAGAAAACTACAAATTACTAGTGAGAAATTATCAAGTATTTGAATCTATCAATTTTCAGTTCAAAATCATTCTTGAAACGTAAGTAAATAACGCTCTCACTTAGAAAAAAAGGAGATGGCGCGGAAAAACTTTAACAACTTCTAGTTTAGAACTTCCCAGAATTATTAGATTTATGAGATTTTCCATCTTGTCCTCCAGTTTTCTCAAAGTGGGTCGTTTTTGCAAAAAATTTCAACCTTAAAAGCTTCTATGTTGTTTTAACGCGACGTATTTTTTTTCGAAATTCGGAAGTTGATAAAATATTCACACTTCGACACTTTTCCAAATGTCTGTTGGTCATGGTTTTAGGAGTAATGAGTGTAGTGAAGACTTAAATAGGTCTTGCTGATTTTTTTCACGAAAAAGTCTTAAAATTTGTTCACGCTCAATTTTGATTTTTGGCGCTTTGACTTGTGATTTTTATAAAGTTCAATGAATTTCCATTGTTAAAAAGAAGGCAAACTCCACTATCGAACAGCAAAAGTGTAAAGGTCACGAAAAACATGATTGACTTCCGATTTTGAAAGTTGAAATCAATTATCAGATTTCCCAGCAAAATAAAAGTTGATCCAGCTTTTTCAAATTGGGTTATTCTTGTCAAAAAAGAGCCAATCGTTAATCGTTCTAGAAATTCAAAGAGCTTAAAGGGCATCTATTTTTTGTTGAAAATCAAAAGTCGATATTTTTTTGAAGTCTGTTTTTTATGCTTACTTGTGTTCATAACTCTTTTTCAATCTTCGATTGGCTATGTTGTTTAATTTTCGTTGTGTCGTTTTCCCGCTGATATTTGTGAAGTTGCGGCATATTTTCAGTATATTTTTGTTCCTATTCTGCTTAAAGGTTTTTAGTTGTTGGTTATAATGGCTTAGTGGCCTCATAAAGCGCGGTTGATCAGCAAAAAGTTTTCTGTGTGCGTATGTGGTTTTAGGGAGAGGGAACTTAAATTTTTATAGTAGTTTCAAATTTTTTTCCGGCATGAAGGATTTCTGCTCAAATATTTGAGGCTTTGTAATTGATTGGTAAGTTTTCTTCCCATGCTAAGTTCGCAAGCAAAACTATCTTCATACACTTTAATTTTGTATAAGCCTCATGTTTATAAGTCTCACTTTGAAATGGGGATAAGATAATGAAACCGTATTTTGTCCTAATTTATAGTCCAAGGAAAAATGATGATTGATAATGTTGAGTTTCAGTTTTTGTTTCTGAGTGGTTTATCGTGTTAAAAGTAGTGAACGTAGTGAGTACTCTTATCTAGGTTTTGCTGTTTTTTGTTTGTTTTTCAGGAAAAAGTCTTAAATTTTGTTCACGCTCAGTTTTGACTTTTCGCGTTTGATTAGTGATTTCTTTCTAAGTTTAGTGCATTTCTGTTGCTAAAAGGAAGGCAAACTCCAATACCGAACAGCAAAATTGTAAAGGTCACCAAAAACGTGATCGACGACTTCTATTTTCGAAAATCGAAAATAATCTGTTTTCCCAGCGAAATGAAAGTTTTACCTATTGATCCAGTTTTCTCAGATTGAATTAATTTTAACAAAAATAGTGTCCATTATAAATTGCTCTTCGAATTCAAAGAGCTTCAAGGTCATTTATTTGTTTCTTCGAAATTTACAAGTTGAAGATTTTTGAAAAACAAATCGTATTTTTTTCAGTTCATTACTTTTTTCCAACTGTTAGTTGGCTATGTTTTAAATACTCAAGATGTTCGCCGATAATTTGACTCTAGTGTTTTGCTTTTGTTTAGACATGAGGAATATGAAAAAGCAAGAAAACTTCCTCAAGGTCACTTTAACAGCTCTTTTCAAGAGTCTGAAGAAATCCCGCCAAACGCTTGACGACAACAACTACCAGGTCGGAGACTGGCCTGAAGGTCCAACCGGTAATTCCGGAGATACCGATTCCAGCAAGGTACTGGAAATAAGGAGTGCTTTGTCATCGGTGCTGGAGAATTTTGCGTTATTTTGTGACCTGGTATTGTTTTTCCCAGACTACGTGCAAGCGAGGATGAAGTTGAAGACGTTTAGTGGGGAGAAGAGTGCAGATCCGGCTGCGGAGACAATAGATACAGATACGCCCTCGACCATTATTAAGTAAGCGAAATCTGATATCAAGTTGGCCTATATATTGGTTCTGATGTTTGTTAAGATTTTTTCGCTGGCGATAAGTGAGCGTTATCAAACTGGACTTTTTTCCGGGTTAACAACTAGTTTAACAGGATCTTTTGAATCATTTGGTGTCTTGGTTCACAATGAATTCAAATTTCTGAGCGTCTCCGGCACAGTTAGTCTGGAGGTAACGAATGCGCCGGGGACACCAAAGGTTGTGGGTTTGAAACTGACCGGACCTGTTTTTTTTTGTTTCAATCTGGAAATAGTCCGTTTCAAAAAAAATTGTCGACTGATGATTGTCTGCTGATGTTTTGTCGGTTTAGTTGCCATATTGTACAATTTTTTAAAGTTATTTTTTCACATTATAGTTTTACGTGTTCTGATTTCACTCTGTTTTTGCTGTATGTGTTTTTTTTTCTAACTTGACCTCGTGTATACGTATATATTTTTGTTTAAAAATTTTATTCTGCCGGTATGATTTCGGCCTATTTTTTATCGTCTTCGTGATCTAGTTTCAACGAAAACACATTTTTAAGGCTCATATCTGGATTGCTCAAAATGCTAAAATTCCTAAAGAATTATAGTTCAAGTTTACAATTTTTTTTTCTTTTTTCGGCTTGATAGGTTTCGGCCTGTATTATATCGGCTTATTAGCCTCAGATTGCATCTTTCGACGAGCCGAATTTTTTTTTGTGATCGTCTGCGTTTTGAGGCTGAGGGGGTACTTAATAACTTTTTTTATTGTTAATTTTTTATTTTCATTTTTTGGGCTGAATAGGTTTCGGCTTATATTGTATCGGCTTAGTGGGCTGATAATGTTTCATTTGACGAGCAAATAAAGTGTTTTGAGGCTGAGGTGGATTAATTAACTTTTCAGAAGTTTGAAATCTTGTTGATTTTTTTCACTTCTGACTAGGTTTCTGACGAGGTATTTTCGGCTTTGTTACCACTAGGTATATTATCTTCCGATGCTTATTACACATTTTATTGTCTTGGCATATTTTCGTTTCAAAACTAGCTTTATTCATTACATAGATCTAGTTTTTCGATCTTTTCGATTTTTTTTAAAAATTTTTTTGTATCGCAAGTAGAGGCGTGATAATTTTTTTTCAGGAAAAGTTATAAAATTTGTTCACGCTCATTTTTTTCTCAAAAAGAAATCAAACAGAAAAAGTGTAAAGGCCACGAAAAACGTCAATGAGTTCTAGTTTCGAAAGAAGATTTTAATTTTCAGATTCCTCAGCGGAATGAAAAATTTTACCTAATGATCCAGTTTCCTTAAAATCTTTATCAAAAAAAGTTCAACAAAAGCTGTTCTTGAAATTCAAGGAGCCTTAAAGGCATATATTATTTCTTTTGAAATTCGCAAGTTTAAGTTTTTTGAAAAAAAAAACAAGTCCGTTTTTTTTGTTTCCTTGTGTTCATTGGCTCTTTTCCAACTGTCTGTTGGCTATGTTTCTACTTGAAACGCAATATAATCTTGTATCATGGCTGTTTTGTTATACCTCGAATTTTTTGATATCCAATAGTTAAGATAAATGCATAAGAACAGTTTCTCATTTCGTTAGATAAACTTCTTGAAAAATGGTTAGCTTTCTGCAGCTCGCCGTTGAAAATCTTAATAAAACCAAACCGCAACACTTAAATTCTTTATTTTAATCGTAGCAAAAACAAGCTAAATGCGGGCGAATAGCAGAAAAGTCGGTTTCGCTGTTGAATATTAGGTATGTCACTGCTCGATAATTCTGTTCAGGTGGGCTGTGATGGTAGCTAACATAGATCAGTTCCTCTTCTCAGAACAAGACAGAGAAAGAACCAATCTAGCTTTGCAGCAACTCAAGCTCATTCCGCGCGCCGATGACTTCGTTAATCCGAACTCAAAAGAGTTCAAAGTTGAGAAGCTAATGAAAGACTTGGAAAAGGACAAGACAAAAAAAGTTGGAAAGACATTCGAGAAGTCTCAAGCGAAGAAAAACAAAGAAAAGTTTGAACAAAAACGGAAGTTGACAAAAAACAGCAGAAACAAAAATGAGCTCTGAATGATATTTTGGTTCAGGTTGCTTTCATTTGAAATATCGTATTAAAGCTATCATTTTTTTCTTAAATCAATTGCTCAATTAATGATTCTGTTATGTATAAAATGTTTTTCAACGTAAACTCTATTATATCATTTGTAAAAACGTATCAATACAGTGTTTTGACTAATTCGAAGTGCATTCAGGAGTGTTGAGCGAAATATCTTAAGCTCTATGCCAATTACGATAAAAAAAATGGTAATTTTGGATAAATTTGTTTATTTTTAGTTATTGAAATGTGAAAAAATGGCGCTTTTGTTCAACGTGGAGCGAGTGAAGTATACATGCACTTGTGGAAATCGATTTCCTCTTTGTAAATTGTACGTGTGCAGGTACTGTCGAGAACTCAGATGCAAAATTTGTGTGTCACATGAGGCGAGTATTCAATTGAAGAAAAAAGAAAGATGACTGAACTCATCTTTTTTTCTGATTTCATTCTCATTTTGAGAAAAATCAGGTCAAATTTCTCTGCATAAAGATCATTCTATTCGGTTTTTTTAGTAGACAGCCCTCCATTTTCCTAAATGAGACCCAAAATCTTATTAAGATGACAACTTTTTTTTATTGGCAACGGGCACAATATTTTTTTTCCTCATGAAGTTGCTCTATTTTGAAGTTGCATTTAGTAGCTGGATCAGTCTTGATAATAACTTCGAATCATATCCTAAATAAAGGTTAAAAATCCAGAAAATAAATTTTTTGTTCATTTTGTGTAGCCGGACAACTTCTACTGTCCCCACTGCACAGATGGCATCACTGGGCCAGAAGTAAGGGAGAGGAAGAACCAGTGTCTGTCATGCTTTAATTGCCCCTCCTGTAACAACACCCTCACAGCCAGACTCACCACAGTCCAGACCACAAATCCAGAGAACCCCACGGTCAGTCGAACTCGAATATTTAATATACATTTGAAAATGGACGGTGGTTGGGAATGCTCAAATGTGTAAACGAAAGCATTGAAATTGTTTGTCAACTTTTTATCTGACAGTTATTGGGCATATTCAGTTGTTTGATATTCTAAGTTTAGACAATCCTAAGTTTAGGCACTCGTCTAATAAGGGCTAATTCGTTCAATGCTGTAACCATAGGATGACTTCATATTTCATGCAGAGATGGACAAAGATTTGGACACCCTAAGCACTAACTAAATATGTGAAGTGTTTTAATATAGGGCGAGCCTCTGCAGCGGAAGCAGTACTATTTGGTGTGTGCTTGCTGTCGGTGGAGTTCCAGAGACGCAGACATCCCTGATGTGCAGAACCACGGGAGCTGGAGAGAACCCAAAACAGACAAGGAGATGGAGGAATTGGTAAGCTACACGTGTACAAGCGAAGCCGATGTTGTGTGATATAATACAAAGTCTTTTTCTTCTCCAATACAAGCCGCACATTTTATTCCAGTCCGTTCTACGGGATTTCGTCTCATGTGGTTCAATGGAAATCTTGTTGATATTATCATCAATCGAATTCATGAAAATTTCATTGGCATAGATTGTAGAGACCTCCCCCTTTTTTTACGATGTCACTAAAATGTCTTTAGATACATGTTATGCTCAAGCTGGGTCCCTTTGATGTTAAGATGTCAAAAATATAATTATCTGTACTGTAAATTGCTAACCCAACCAACTGGTCTCGATGTTGGTGGCATGGTTTTCTGTCAAATTTATCTCAAATATGAGCGAACAACTAGATCAAATATAAACTGAAATGAAAAATTATAATAATAATAATAATATAATATTTAATTCAGTTGATGATTATTACAATACAATATGTATATTTACAATCATCAACAAGGATTGTCTAAAAAGCCTACGGCTTATCTAGTAGACAACCTTAAACTCAAATATCAATGACAATACAGCTGTTTATGAACTTCCTTATTATCAAGCAGATAATTATCAAAAACATCGTGTATAAAAATCTTGAGTTGATGTCTCTGCAAACTTGTCACATCTTCATTCAATAAACCAGATGCAGTTATATAATTATGAATAATGGTTCTTCTAACATTTATGGAATTTTGAAAACATTTCGTTCTTTGTATTTTACTATTAACTTTTCCAGAAGCAACTCTCCTAGTGTAGTACGCCACGTTATTAGTCGTGGTACTATCACAAACATTATTGTAGCAAAGATCTTTAAACAGTTCGTAAACGTGAAGATCAAACACCGTTTCAATTTTATGCAGTCTGTACTTTTCAACTGTGCTCTCTCTATAATCAATTCTAAAAATAGCACGTATTATTCTCTTCTGTATTACTAAAATTTTATTTAGATCTGTTAAGTTTGCACAGCCATAAACCAATACGCCATATTGAAGAACAGGTTTGATGTAGGATCTGTATATCAGTAGAAGCATTGGAATATTAAATAATTTTCTGGAACGATATATTACTCCACACAGTTTAGACAATTTCTTAATAACATGTTCAATATGCATCTTGAAGTCTAACTTTGAATCAATGTAGATACCCAAATACTTCGTGCAATCAACCATTTTTATGCATTCACCTTTTATATCAAGACCAATTTCTCCATTTTTCTTGCTGAAATTGAGCAGAACAGTTTTATCAGTATTCAGTGAAAGTTTATTGCAACATAAGTAATTGTAAACTATGTCAAATTCGGTTCTTAATTTCTTTCCAGAATTCTTACCAGAAGTCATGATGGATGTATCATCTGCAAAAAGTGTAGTATCTAAACTAGTGCTATCAGGTAAATCATTTATGTAAATCAAAAACAGAAGCGGACCTAGAACAGATCCTTGTGGAACTCCCGTTGAAACATTTTCAAGCGTTGATCTATTATTTCCAATTTCAACATACTGCTTTCTATTAGTCAAGTAGGCTCTAATCAAATTGTTACTTTTACCCCTGATCCCATAATGATCCAATTTTTGCATCAGAATTTTGTGATCAATCGTGTCAAAAGCTTTCTTGAGATCCAAAAACAAAGCAATTGCATCCGCTCTTTTATTAGTAGCATCTCTTACAAATTCGGTCAGCCTCGCAACAGCCTGAATCGTAGATCGCTTAGATCGAAAACCATATTGGTTCATGTTTAAAATAGAAAATTTCTCAAAAAAATTTATGAACCTCGAATGTATAAGTTTCTCAACGACTTTGCTCAGGCAAGACAACAGCGAAATTGGTCTGTAATTACCAGGATCTGTTTTATCTCCATCTTTGAACACAGGGACCACTTTGGCAATTTTCAGTAAGTCTGGGAAAACATCAAGGTGAATGCATTCGTTAAAAATATCGGATATTAATGGTGCAATTACCACTCCTAACTGCCTGATGATTTCATTGCAAATATCATCAGGTCCACATGAGAACTTACTTTTAAGGCAATTGATAACATCTAGAACTTCTCTGTGGTTAGTTTCAAACATTACCATTGATTGCACTTGTTTTGGCGATCTACATATCGGTACTGATGAGTAAGGTATTTGCGATGCAATTTTCGACCCAATGTTACAGAAAAAAGTATTCAATTTATTCGCATCAATATGTGTCGTTGTGTTATTCCCGGTCTTTCCTATTCCTACATTTTTAAAAATCTTAAATAAATCTTTACTGTTAGTCACCTTTTCCACTTTTTTAGTATAAAAGTTCCGTTTCTCTAATCGCAGCAAGGCGTTTACTTTATTGCGAATGATTTTATAATTGACATGCGTTTCAGTCGACCAGCAGGCCTGTAGTTGGCGAAGAAGTCTATCTCGTTTAAAAATTAGTTTTCTAATTTCTGGAGTTATCCATTGTGATTTCACTTTTCGTTTTTTACCATATACTTTTAATGGAGCGAATACATCTAGGCAATCGATAATTGTTTTAATCAGAAACTAAACTTTTTCATCACATCTGCTAAAAACAATATTTTTTCGGTTGATTTTTTTAGAAAAGACAGATTACGAAAAGTCAAGTTATCATCTATGTTTGACACCACGTTATTATCGGCGAAGATAATATTGTGATCACTAATACCAGAAATTACATTGTGTTGCAACAGGAAAATTTGAAATTATATGATCAATGCAAGTACTACTACGGTTAGTAACGCGCGTTGCTTCGTTGGCGTTATTTATAACAAAATTGTAACTTTTACTTAAATTTTTCAACCCTTTTGAGCAACTATTTTCAACCAGTGTATCAATATTAGAATCCCCAACGAACATTGTTTTTGAATTTACCATCGTTTCTAAGTTGCGTTCCAGAAAACTATAAAAATGATCGATATTTATATTGGCGGACGATAAAATACGCAAATGTTTGTTGAAGATAGAGATCCATTTTTGAGTCTAATACACAATGCCTCAATCCCATTTTCGCAAACAATATTTTCATTTATAATAAAGTCAATGCCAGTCTTAACATAAAAAGCAACACCCCCTCCCCTTTTATTGGTTCTACATCTAGAAACTATCGGTTGAAATCCCGGAATATTGTACATTGCCAATGGGTCTGTTTCAGTTAGCCAAGTTTCCGAAAGGCAGATAATCGATAGGTTTTCGTTATAAGTTTCAATAAATCCCACTAAATTGTCAAAATTGCATCGCAAGGATCTTATATTTAGAAAAAGAAGTGTTTTATCAGCTGGCAAAGTCATCGAATAGATTTTTTATAAATGCTAAGTATCAGTAGGTTCGATCTCACCCGCGTCCTCCTGCTCTATCACATTGACCGGCGCTTTTGCCATTTTTCCAGTTGGTGAGCTTACCACTGCGATTACATTTTCAATTAGACCACACAATTTGTCCAGTTTATCTTCCATATCAACGTTCTCTCGTTGCCTCTTCTCCCCTCTAGGTTTTCCATACATTGCATATTTGTTTTTCGCAGTACCATGTTTCATTTGGAATAACTCATTTCTGGAATAAGAAGACCGTCGATTATCTGTGTATTTCCCTGAATTCCTGTATCCATTTTGTTACCATCTAATTCTTCCGAAAATCCGCTGGCAACTTTGTCAATCTCACCGCGACTGTTAACTGGAACCCATTTATTATTTATTCTGAGAAGTGGTTGACAATTGTTTGTTTTAAATTTCAAACCTTTCTCTTTTGCATAATTCACTGTATCTCGGTCAATTTCTGGAAGCCTCTCAACGATGAAAATATTCTTCGTCGATTCATTGTCAGTTAACGTAAATCTGTTTCGCCATACATAGTCACGCTGCCCATTGTAAATAAATTTAACAATAATTGGTTTTTTCTCTGCATTACCCGGTAAATAGTGACATGCAGCCAAATCTTCGGGTGACACTTTAGCTCCTAGAACACGATTCATAATATCAAGTACTGGTACCATCGGATCCACGCCGGATTTCACGCCAAGAAATGTCAAACATGATCGTGATAAATATCGTTCAGAGCAAAGTACACGGTTTTGAATAATTACATTGTCCTTGCGCAGTTGAGAATTTTCATACTTGAGATGCTCGATAGTATTGTCCAATGTCTCCATTCGGTGAATAAAGCTTTCGAATAATCCTTTCACTTCTTCTGGGTTTGATAAATTGGCATTCTCTAGGTGTGCACGCAGTAATGCCATTTCTGCCATGTGAATACAGCGATGTGATGTCGTAAGAGAACGCGAAGCAAATCGTACTAATCTTAGTTCATTTCGTCTGAAACTATTTAATAAGTTTATCACAACAATTAGGCTAAATTATCAATTTTATGAAAATTCAGCTATACCAAACGCTTTTATCATTCTAATTTCCAAGTCATGGCATTTGTCATAAATGTCACCCAGCCTTCCTCGAAAAATCTTTCACGTCGCTTTTCAGCACTGTCATAATTTGGCGGAAGCGAACATCACGTCGATATTCCGTTTTGAAGGGTTTTAAAGTCCCAGATCTTCTGTTTGCCTGGCTCTTCTGCGAACAACCGATGATGATCTTTGAAATATATCATATCATCAGGCTGTTTTTTGTGCCCATTTTTCAAACTCGATAACATTTTTTGGATTCAGGCGTGATCCTTTCACTAACCAGAACGACACTAGTCTGAGAAAAGGAACCTGGGCCAATCATGCCTTCTCCAACTCTTGCTCATTTTGCTACTGATTTTTTATGGCTCTGGAGTAAAACGATTACGCGGTATGGTCGACGACAACGTAAATAATAGACTCTGAGAACTTCTCTAACCGTTGCAAAGCCTCATTTGGCACTTCCCTGGTCCTAAAGTAAAAAATACTTTTCGAACAAATTTTTTTTTGTTATTCGTTTTTCAAAGATATTTCTAGTCATTTAAGGCCATAGTGAATGATCTGAAGTTTCTTTTAAAACCTTTTTTAATGGTTTTTTTGTGTAGCATGCACAGAAAAATGATATAAATATGAAAAATGAACGAATTTAAATTGTTTTTTTTTTGAAAAACAAATGTGGTCGAACTTAGTGCTCTGTCACAATAGCTGTCGTCTCTGTTATCAATATGTTTTATATCGTTTTTTATATCATAAAACAAAAAGACTGCAATTTATCTTCCGGCTTAGTTAAATAATGCTCAATAATATATCTTTATATTTTAAGTTATCTGAAACTACTAAAATCTTAGCTTTGTATACGCTGGTTATTTTTTGAATAGCTGTTTGTGTCGTCATTAAGCCGGATTTTAGGTGATGATAACAATTCCAATACAAATTGTACGGCGGATTTTAGGTTAAAGTAGCAATTCCAACACCTATCTTGAAAGTTAAAGTACGCTGACATATCAAGTGCGATAGGTTGAACTGAATGTGTTCTTGGGGAAGCAAAAATTGCCGTTTGTACGAAAGCTAGATGGCAACCAGGCGCGGATTTAACATTTTTTTGAGGAAAGGGCGGATTTTCAATAACAAGAAATTTTAGTCGACCTATTTTGATATTGTTTTTCGAGCCCTCCCAAAACTTAGATATCCTATTTTTTTTTTAGTTTCTGCGCATCAGGCATATTTAAAAACAAAAACAGGCCAAATTGACATTGTAGGACCTTTTCGAAAGATTTTGACCGAGAAAGCTACGTTTTTTTTTGGTGCGCTCTCCTCACAATTAGTATATAATAAGGCCAAAGGCCCCTTTTGAAATACTAAAATTTATGGTTGGTCAGTCAAAAATGGATGACGTTCAATAATACCGAAGGGTTACACTCTTGGTGATGCGGGAGTCGAATTCCTGAGGAAGACGCATCCGACTCACCATCCGCAAATACGCTACTGATACTAATTGGTGCTAGCAAGAAAAATGCTTGAGAGCAATTCAGTTCGAATTCGCACCCAACTATTAAAAAAGGAATTTTTAGCTGCTTGCTGTGAAAAAGTACTGGGCAACTGTCGGAGCAGAGGAGGCAATGGAAGCACAGACGAAGAAGTTTCCGAAGAGAAAATCTTACGCTTACAAGAGGGTAATTTAATCCCATTCATCTATAACCTACTATCTTAAAAATTAATTAAAAGGAATTTTCCGTTATTGTTTTAGGACTTGTTTCAACGGCGAAGATCCAGTATCTACAAAAGTCTAGCGAAGAACAAGTGAGTTGGTCTTATTATCGATTTTTTGAAAATTTTAGAACTGTTCTGAGACTAGATTTTTTGGCTAGTTTGTTATCTCCAAGTGCAACCATCAGCGACACATCCGCTCAGAAGTCATCTGAAATCAAACCGACAGTTGAGGCCTTTAGTGAAGTAGACCCACTTCCAGAGTCGTACTGGACACAGCCTCTGAATGTGAATGCAGTGACATCGCTGAGTCAGCGAATCGCGTTTCCATCTTTGATGCCGGAGACTGCAGCTGAGTTGCACCCTATGCGGAAGACGCTGACCATTAAGAGAAGTCTGAGATGTCCAGGAGCGGTGAGTGTTCTATTGATTTTGACCTATATGTTCTTCGGGGTGCTCCAAAAGGGAGATGAACGGCTTTTAAAATCATTTTCTACGAATGGGATTTTTTCAGAATGAGAATTTTTCCATTTGCGTTTATAACGCTCTATGAAAAATATCACAGTATTTTCTTGTTCTTATATATATTTTTTCTAAGTCAAGTTATTTAAGACTATTTAACCACAAGGAAAAGGACCAACTTATGAGCTATTCAGCTCTTCACGGAGAACCGTTGTTGTTGTTGTACACCTACTTAAGAATTGCATGATATTTGTTTCGGTTATTTTTCTTCCTTGCTTTTTTCTGTTTCCCTTGTTTTTTTTCGGCTTGAATCCGTTTTAAAGGGCAATGAAAACATTTTTTTTTTCAGGATTGTGATCACAACCTAGTGAAACCGGAGTATGTTCCGCAGTCTATCAAGTTCAAGCTCCATCTAGTGGCACAGTAAGTAATTTTGATACAAAGCTCATATTTATTTTGATATCATCTAATTCAATAAACTTTTGTAGAAACAGAGACTTAGAGTCCTATTCTGGAATCCATCTTTTGTATTACCATGGTTACCTACTGATCTTTTATATTGACCGGTCACTATTGATCGCCTATAAAAGCTCTCTTCTTTTTTTTACTGGTCACTTTTTTTGTTAACCCCCTTTGCTACTATTTTATAACATCAGTTCTCGGTTGACGCCAATATGTACTAATTTTGAATAGGAGCGCGCACCAAAACCTTCCAAAAGGTGGCCAAAAACGGCCTTTTTTGTCTGTTTTTTTTTTAAATTTAGCTGCGGCGCAGAAATTTTTGTCAAATTAGAGTAAATTTTTTTGCGCACTTGTTTTTTGTCCATTCTGGTAGTTTTTGACCAAGTCACATCTTTTTCGTACACTTGGTGGTAGCCTTGCTTATTACACAATACTGCGACTCAGTTATTTAAATCGAAGGAATAAGATTATTAGATTTTAGCGGAACGGACACTCGAATTGGGCACTCAGCATGTCTTACTGTAATACGTTTTAAAAATCAAAATGTTCTAAAGGCTCCTTTTTAGGGGGAAGCGCGCGCCGAAAAAACGCATTTTTTTAATCAAAATTTCTTACAAGTGTTCAAAACGTAATTTTACCAAGTGTTCAAAACGTCATTTTCAAAAATTTGCCTGCGGGTCCTTAAAGTAGTTTCGGAGAGCTGAGAGCTCGGAAAATCAAATTTGGTGACCTAAAAAAACGTCGACACAACGGTCAATTTTTTTCGAAAAATCCGCCCCTAGAAAAATTTCTGCGCACGCCACTGACTACATTATTCTAATGCAGGTTATTCGTGCCAGAGATTCGCCTCGCGTGCCAGCCCTCTCTGGAGATGGAGAAGGAGTCAGTGTGTGTGCTGTCCATCACAAACCCCACAGACTCCATCATCAGAGTCAGGATCGCCCCCATTGACTGTGATGAGGAAACGGAAGAGTCTGTCGGAGATCTAATAGACGAGATCAACACTAATGTGAGCACTGACTCTAAATGGCGGCTTTTCAAAATTGTTCCGCACAAAATAACAATTGACTATAATTCACACAAGCGGAGCAACTTGCTCACACAAGCAATTGATTCTGCCAATCTAAGTCGCAAATAAAGGTGTTCATTTGGTGGCATTTTGGTGTATTTCCAAGCACAGGCAATTGAATATCTTCTATTTCTGCTTTATTGGTTGCTGGCGTTTATTAGTCAACGAACGTAGTGAAGACTCTTATATAGGTCGTGATGATTTCGGTTTTTTCTTGAAAAGCTCTTAGTATTGACTCTCTAAATTAGATTTTTCGCGGTTTGATTTTTGATCTTTAATTTCAGTTCCTTTCCTTTGTGACAATTAAGGCAAACTCACTATTGAACAGCGAACTAGTTTCGAAAGTGGATTTTAAGTTTCATACTACCAGTAGAGTAAAAAAAATTTCTATTGATCTAGTTTTCTCAAATAGGGTTATTTTTTATTTGAAAAAGTCACTGGTAATTTTTTTGAAATTCAAAGAGCTTTTAAGTCATTCCTTGCTTTTGTTCCTGGCGTTCAATGAATCTTTTTCAACTGTTTGTTCGCCAGGTTAGTTTGTTTTTATAAGCGACCTTGGCGTCGATGCGAAGACGTGAGACTCCAAAAATTCGAAAAAAAAGTAGAGCTATCAAAGCGAATAAAGCTAGTTTTTTTAAAATCATTCCAAGACAAAAGAATGTGAAACTAGCATCGGAAGAAAATTCCCAAGCAATAAAAAAGCAAAAATACCTGCGCAGAAATTCTTTGAAAGACTTTTCCTGAAAAAAAATAGCAAAACAATACGAATTAAATGAATGCCTTAACTTCAACCAATGACACTTATTAAGTTCTGAGAAGACGAAAAGTGTGATAGAGAAAAAAGTAGACCGATCGTATTACACAATCAATGCTTGTGTAATTATTTACACGAAAGTAATTAATAACACCAACAATTTGAAGCGAAACCTTGAATTGGACAGGCAATAGGCACATTGAGTACTTACTGAAAGTCGTCAATACATCTTCATTTTGCTGATTCCAATCAGAATCAAGCATCATTAATTTTAGTTCACGTGCCTACTTCATTTACTATCGGACAATTTATTTCTCACATTTTTCTGGTAAAAGTTCGCTGGTGTGGAGGAGAAAGAACCCCGATCTCCATTTACAAATGTGGCGATGGGGTTGAAATGTTAAAAGCGTGAATGTCTTTCATTTTCAAAAGTGAAACTGAAAAATTTCCAACGGAATAAAAAATCCTACCTAATGATCCAGTTTTCTCGGATTGTTTTCATAAAATGCCAATCTTAGAAGTTTGAAGCTCAAAGAGTTTCAGGAATAAATGTTTTTTTTTTTTCGTTTTAAAGTGCTTAAAAAATAATCAGTGTTTTTTTGTTGCGAAGTACATAGACACTTTTCCAACTGTTTGTTGGCTATATTGCCTTTTAGAGCTTTTTCCGGTTTTTGTTCCGACCAGTTTTCGGGTATTTTAGTTTTTCGACAACAAAATACACATACACCTAAAATCATTGGAATGGGTCGAATTACATATCATATTAAAGCCCTTTGGTCGTACGACATGATAAAAATTTTAAACAAAACTTCTCAGTATCGAGAGAAACCGGTTTGAAATCGTTAATTTTTGGTCTAATTTCGAGCCAAAAAGGTTTTTCAAAAAAAGGTTTGCAGGTTTACAATAGATTACTTAAGCTTATTTTAAGCCGTGAAAACTTTAATTCATCAGATCTCATAGAAAAAAAAACGACTCTGATTTGAAAAAATGTGCTATTTTAAGACTGTTGTCGGAACATTCTGTGCTATTTGGACAGTAACCGGCTATCCTTGTTTTATTTTGCTTGCTAAGTGCATCTTCGTTCCTTTTCGTGAGATTGCATAAAAATGTTTCTATGACGTTTCTTCTGATGTTGTATGTAGTTGAGTGTGGCTCCCCTGCTGCAAGATGAAGGTGTGGAGATTGGGGGTAAGTTGAATGGACTGGAACTGGCGGCCGGAGAATCATTCAATGGGGAGAGACAGTATTCAGATGACAGCAGTGTCATTGTGCAGAGGAAAATCAACAAGGTCTTTGTGAAGACCACTCTCGTCCCTAATTTGCTAGGAGAGAAGATAATGGTGAGGCATAAATAATTGATTATATATAAGCCCTTAATTTTGTCCTAACTGTCCTAAAATGTTGGAAAAAACATTCTTTACCAGAAAGAGAAAAATATGCTGTCACGGGACAAAAAAATTGATTAAAATTGAAAGAGTTATTTGGCCCGGCATCGAAAAATGGTCAAATCTGGTTTGACGGCATATGCATTTAAATTTTTGACAGCTTATACTTGAAAATTGGACAAAATTTGTACACAACATAACTGCTAATGAGAATCCTGTGCATGGATTGGAGCAGTTTCAATGTTGTTATCTAGCTTTTTTTCGCTAACTTAAGATGTTAGTCAAGCTCATCAGCTTCCCAAATAACTAATTTGAGCCTCGTATTTCTTATATTGCTTGCGAAGATGTTTCCACGGCAAGAACACTTCTAAAACTAGTTTTGAGATACTGGCTAATTTACGCCTTCGGGATCAATTGAGCAACCCCTCTCTGTTTTGTTTGCAGAAGATTGTGCAATTACATGCTGCAGGTTTTTTTACATAAATAGAGGTAGGTCAGAGAACTTGCCCTGGTAACTTGCTTGTCTCGACGACCTTTTGACGACCTTTTTTGGTCAATCAAATATATTTTCCGAGCTCTTCTAAAGCACTAAAAAGACGCTATATTGGGCCAATTTTTTGCGCCGCTGGGAAATTTTTGAGAAAACAGGTAATAAAAACCGTTTTTCGCCCTTTTTTTTGGAAAATTTTGACAAAAAAATGCGTTTTTTTTGGCGCGCTCTCCCCATCAAAGTTAGTATATATTGGCGCCCAAGGTCGGTCGGCCAAAATGTATTTCTTAAAAAGTACCAAAGGGGACCCTTTGGGTCGGCAGGGGGTCGAATCCTTGAGCCGGGGGCTTTCGTCTTCTTTTATAGTGTTTTGGCGTTTTTGTTTGGATGGATAGCTCATTTGGTCATGGCGTGGAGGAGGGAGATTGCGCGATACATACTTAAAACCTGTTGATAACCACTTGCACTACTTTCCATTGTAGGAAACTGTACGCCAGATTCTGCAACAAACGCGGAGAACCAAAGATCACAGTATAAAAATCAGAAACAAGATTCAGATAGAAAAATGGCCAAATGAGTTGCATGCTAAACCAGCTTTTTCCTGTTTAAAGAACAATGTTCAATTACATACAATTTTAGGAAGCTGTAGGGTGTTTTTTGACATAAATACAGTCGAGAGAACTGACCCTGGTAATTTGCTTGCTTAGAAGCAGTAATCGCCCGAACAAAAAATCGGGGGAAAAAATTTAAAATTTGTTTAAAAAATTATTGACACTCATAAATAAAATCTTCCAGAAAACGAAAAAAACGAAGAAAAATTCGTTCTTTTACTCGTTGAAATCAAAAAGTTGCAACTTCTGTCTCGTGACTGTAGTTTACTCTACCATAGACGTGTAGGTAAAGATCGCTTATTGATCTTGATAGAACTTATAATTCAAGGTTTCGAAGTAATATACGGCGTTCTCTGAGGTCGATATATCAAGTTTACAATTTTGAATTTGAGATATCAGGTTTCTATAGACGTGACTAGGAATTAGTATGTTCTTTTCATTGTCAAACGATCTTTCTGAAAAAGAACGCTTTTTGGTTGCAGGTTGGGTTAAACTTCCACTTCCAGCTGCTGACAGATGACGCCATTGCAAACAAAGACCCATCAGTGCAGCTGAAGCTGAATGAAGAGAATTCAACTCCAATGTCTACTAGAGTACTGCTTGACCTCGGATTCGCCCACTAAATACACTGCTGATTAAATTAATTGCTGATTATCGATCAGATTTAGATCAAATTGAAGCTCCATATTGACCCTTTCCGAACAGGCAGCTATGTGTTTCCTATAAGCCGTCATGGTATTTCGTGAAATATATTTACGATGTGCACTAGATGTTAACGCGGGCTAGGTTACAAGATTCTGAAAGCAAATCGATAACTGATCGACTAAATTAACTCTAACTTGGTGGATGGTTAAATATAGCGAGTGAAATGTCTCATAACAACCAGCAAAATCATATGGCATTTTTCGGAATTATCGGTGTTACTTTATCCCGCCAGTTTTAACCGATGTAGACAAGTTCACGAATTGGCTCTGCTGAATTTTCATGTGCATTTCTTGCGTGTCGCGGTTACATAAGAGAGATTAGTTTATCAGACTGATTGGAAAACTAAAGCTTTGCAATTTTCTCTTCGAGAAAAGTTGACAGTTGGATTCAAGTGGGTGTCGAAAGTTTTCATTGTAAATTTGATGCTTTCATATTTTTTTGAACATTTCATTTTCTAGAACTCGTTTTTTTTGCTGGTTAATGAACAGTTCACATTCGCTGTTTGATGTTTCTTGATTAATTGATGGGGTAAATTTTTGTAGATAGTCAAATGGTTTAATTTATTTGGACGCACTTAAACTTCTGTGTTAATTTTCTATTGAGAAACCAAATCCAAGAAGAACAAGGATAGCCGGTTGCTGTACAAGTAGCACAGAGTGTTGCGACAGCGTTTATTAAAAAACTACAAAAAGTTTTTTCTTCAAACTAGTGTCGTTTTTGTTGCGTGGTGTAATTAGAGAACGATATAAACGCGAATTAAAAAGTGAGGGAATTAAGAATAAAATCGACAACATTTGTCTTGAAAAAATGATTGATAAACAAACGAAAATAAAAAATTTTGTGTTCAATGAAACTTCTAAATCTAGTTTTCTTCTATATTATTTTGAGTTTTCTTGGCCTAACAGCTAAAATGCGTTTTTTAATAAACGAACGTTACTCGATCGCTTTGCTCGCTCGAAATTGAACCAAACATTTAAAAAAATTTGAACTAGTGGTTCTCAGCACTGGGACAATTTTTTAAGAGTAATGAACGTAATGAAGACTCTTTTATAGGTCCTGGTGATTTTTTTTAATTTTATTTTTTTTCAGGAAATAGTCTTAAAATGCTCTAATAACTACAGATGTGCATTCATACATATTGGCGCATTTATGAATGCAATTAGTTATATATGCACTTTTTGAGTGCACTTGAAATGCATTTGCTGAAAGTTACGTAAATAGCACTCTTCAAATACGAACATGGAAATGGCGAAAAAAAACGAACAATTTCTAGTTTCGAAAGGACTAGAATTTTTAGATATCCAGAGGAATAAAAATTTAACCTTTTGATCCAGTTTTCTCAAGTTGGGTTATTGTTATCAAAAAAGCGCCAATCATAAATTTTTCAAACTCATTTTCTAGAAATTTAATTTTTCTAGGCGTTGATTTTTTTTTCTTGGAAAAGTTTTTTGTTCTGTTTTTTTTTTGCGTTCATTACTCTTTTCCAACAGTCTGTTGGCGGTTTAGAAAAATTTTAAATGTTCGAATCACGACTGAATTCATATATCACTCTACTCGAGGGGTATATAATATTGTATTGCAATAGTGTTGTCTACCCGCCGACAATAATTGTCTCAACGCTGATCTCACAACACGATTGTTGCAGTAATTCGCATTTATGAAACAAAAAATTGTCTTAAGAAAACTTAATTCGAAAAAATTTCTAAAAGCTTGGCAACCATTTTTGTCCCAAAATTCAGTCTCAATCATGAGGAATATTTGGCATTCCGAAGGAACTGGCAGCAAGCGTTTTCTGTAGTCCTATATATCGAACTTTGCTCTCTAAAACAGTCTTTCAGGTCCTAAATCCACAAGAAAGTGCAGTGCTTAAGAGTAATGATCGTAGTGAGTACTCTAGTATAGATCTTGCTGATTTTTTGTTTGTTTTTTTTTTAAGGAAAAGTCCTAAAATTCGTTCAAGCTCAAAATTGATTTTTCGCGGCTTGATTTGTAGTTTCTTTTCAAGTTCAGTGCATTTCTATTATTGAAAGGAAGACAAACTCCACTATCGAACAACAAAATTGTAGAGGTCACGAAAAACGTGATCGGCTTCTAATTTCGAAAATGGAAGTAAAATATCAGATTTCCCCGCGAAATATTAGTTTTACCTATTGATCCAGTTTTCTCAAATTAGGGTAATTTTAACAAAAAAGTGTCCATCATAAATTGCTCTAAAAACTCAAAGAGCTTTAAGGCCATCTATTTTTTTCTTCGAAATTCAAAAATTGAAGATTTAAAAAAAACATGTCGGTTTTTTTTTCAGTTTTCTTGCGTTCTTTACTCTTTTCCAACTGTCAGTTGGCTATGTTTTTCGATTACACCGATAATTGCAATCCAGGATTCACCTGACATCAATAATTGGCATCAATTAAAGTGCAGTTTTTTTATCCTTTAGTTGTTTTTTATAAAAACCCTTCTCGACTCATTCCGATGATTATTTGTGGTACCTGATTTTGCGTGGAAAACGAAAAGCAAACACCAAAAACAAACACCGAATACCAAGTTCCTCCCCATTTTCAGTGGTCGGAACAGAAAGTGCTAATTTTTTACAGTTAAACCTGATGTGAAGTGGTTACGGTGCATTATCTAAGGTATTATTGTTAAAGCTAAAGCAGGCGGAGAATGGAGTCTGATTTATTTTACTTGAGGTGAGGTAGAGCCTGATTTGTTGTACTTTATTTCGATTTATACCAAGATAGCTTAACTACTTTTTGAGCTCTGTCCGCTCAGCATTCGACGTGTTGTTGAATGTCGTGTTTGATTTTTCAGTTTGAATTATGATGTACACGATATTCGTGGGAAACTGCGCTGGAGCCAGCCGCTTGGACCTGGAAGACGAATTTCGACAGTTTGGGAAAATACTCCGTAAGATGAACCATTTTTGAATGAAGTGTTTCGTTGCTCAATTATACGTTGCTCTGTTTGAGTGGTAGGCAATTGGCTGTTTCTGTTGTTTCAGCAAATCTGTTACCATATGAGTTAATGCGTCGACATTTTGGATGCTTTCATTTGCTCTAAAGCTGTCAATTCCAGAGGGCTTGCTTTGCTTCCCTCCTTTTAAGAGGGTCATCTTTATTTATGCGAAACCGATTGTACAAATGTCATGAAAAACTGAAGTATGATTGAATGCACTATATTATGGTTACGAGTCCGATCGAAAGTTGATAATCGCTTGCATCTATTGTAAATTGATTCATTGACACTGAACTTCGGTGCTTATCTAGGTGTTGTAATTTTGGCTGTGGTGTATTGGCCAGAGCAAAATAGTTGTCAGTGAAATCAAAGTTTCCTCGGTTGAACTCATATAGCTACCACAACCGCGAAACCTCAATTTTTTCTTTTTGTTTTGTTGTGGATACCGATGTCAAAGCTTAGATGTGAAGGTGTTCAGAAACATTATCTGCGGTAAATAAGCTACGTGAAATGTTCGTTTTTGAACTGAGTTTTATTGCTGTGAGATTCGTCTACTAGCAATTTGTGTCGCTTCTTTCTGTCCGTCGTCGATTTCAAGCGGTTGAAAATTTTTTTTATACAAACGGATAATACAATGAAGCAACTTTATCCCCAAGTAGCAAATAAAAGTGCTCATTTGGTTCTACTTTTGGTACATTTCGAACCATAGGCAATTTATTAGCATCAATTGATGATTTATTTCTGTCAAATCTTCCTTCTAAGCCACCGTGGCTCAGATGCGAGGACGTGAGACTCCTAATCTATAGACTGGAAATTCAAATCCGGAATATTGAAATGTTTTTTGGTAGCATTTTTGTTGCATAGCATTGGCATTTTAATTGCAACTGTAGTTGCTTTATTGATTGATGGTACTTGATAGTAAATGGTCTAGCGATCGTGGCGAAGATCTATAAAGGTGATACTCCTGATCTCCAGTTGAGAGGTTCGATTTCGGTCTAAGGCTCATACTCTTTTTCCTTATTTCACTTTTTTGCTTTTTCGAGCATTTTTTGCCGTTTTCTCGCTTGTGTTTGCAAAGTGCAGCTTACCATGATTATATAAATGTATATTTAACGCTAGCGCATACTGCCATTGGTTCGTCATTTTGATTACCAATTTTATTTGTAATGAACAAAGTGAAGCTCTTATTAAGAGGCGATTGAAGTAGTTCGACTCTTATATAGGTCGTGATGATCTTTTTTTTTCGGAAAATTTGTTAACGCTCATTTAATTTCTCAAAATAAAAGCAAGGTTCACTATCAAAAAGCGAAAGTGTAAAGGTCACCAAAAACATGCATGACTTCTAATTTCGAAAATGGAATTTAGTTATCAGATTTCCCAGCGAAATAAAATTTTTGTCTATTGATCCAGTTTTTTTTTCAAATTGGGTTTATTTTATCAAAAAATTGTCAATCATAAATTGTTATAGAAATTCAGAGAGCTTCAAGGCCATCTTTTTCTTGGAAAATCGAAAGATAAGACTTTTTCACAAACAAGTCAATATTTTTTTTGTTTACGTGCGCTCATTGATAATTTTCCAACTGTCTGTTGGCTATGTCTTTGACAAGCAAAAGTTTATGTTATACTATGAATCCAACTTTTTTATCCCTAGTCGCAAACTCTGCAGCACTAACTTCGATTGGGTCCAACTTTACACGGAAATTGAACTTCAAAAAGGTGTTTTTTTTTTAATTGAGGGTGGTGTAAATTTATCGGGGGTGGGGATTCCTGCAAAATCTATTATTCAAATAGCACGAGAAGTGAACTTGAATTCACATGAGGTTCCTTAACACTTGAGGCTCGTTAGCACGTCCTTTTTCACAACCAAAATACAGCTTTTTGTTCTCTGATATACCTTGCTGCCCTGTTGCTTTGCAATTAATTTGTTCAGTGTAGTTAAAGTGCTCAGTGAAAAAGTTATTTCCTGCATTTATTTGCTCAGACTTCGCCTGTAACCCCGGGCCAAAAAAAACTTGAGATATTTCATTTGCCATTTCGTGGAATGGGCCCTGTAATTTCGTGACACTGGAAAAGTATCGCGTTGCAGAAGAGAGCATTTATATTTGTTTCTGATTGAATTGATCGAACTCGTATTTGACGCTTCTCATGCTGATATATCACACAATCTGCTTCTTTGCCAGACTTCTGCCATTTTTTGAACAAAAATCTTTTTTATTTCGTTCGCCTATTTTTCTGTTCCACAACATGATTTTCTTTTTTTTTTCGCTCGTTTTCCGGTTGTTTCGCCACATCCGTTTTTCGCTTATTCTAGGAGTGGTTTGAAAATTTGCCTGTTCGCCTGTATTTGATTATTCTCTAGCTTCTTTCTTATTGCTTCTGTATTTTATTTGGTTTTCTCTTTTATTTAATTTTCACTATTTAATTCTTCGAACTGATTTTGAAATTGGAACTTCAAGATAGAAATCACACACAACAATTCTGCGATGAGTACCACATCCTTCACCCTTGATAACCTTCAAATGTTGGCACATTATCTTTGCGAAGATCGTGTTAGAATGAAATCAATCTGGGTGGATTTTTCACCACTCTGAAATAAACAGTAATCATCATCGCAGCGTTTTTAAAGAAAGTGCAGCGTTTAGGAAAGCTAGATAATGTAAGTGGCAGAAATGGACAACTCACTGAGTTCTGAGTCCTAAAGCAGAATAGACGGCTTTCGCTGTCAAATTCCTGGAGCTACTCCCGAATGTTTATTCAAGTCTCCACACAGGAAAGTATATTTTTGGCCAATTACAGAGGCAATAGTATCTTCTAGCCTGTTATCATCTTTTTCCGAATCCTCTCTGAAAGCTTGTGGTGCGTACACATACATTATTACACTCAGTTTGCCCTAATACAAGTTTTAGGCGCATAACACGTTCATTTACTCTAACAACTTCCTGTACATTTTCAACAAGTCGACCATTGATGGCTATTGCAACACCATTGCGTTTTGGGTTTCCTTGCCACCACGGGGTTCCTTGACAACATGAAAACTAGAATTTTTGGTCGCATACTCCAAAACTTCTTGTGCCGCTTCATTTGAAACGAGTTTCCTGTAGACAGCACAACGATGTCTTTCTGGAGTTTCGCATATCTGAAGGAATTTTCCTCAAAGTGTTTGATAAAAAAAGTCGATTAAAAGTTTTTCCCACTCCGTTAAAAGAGCCTTTTCCAATTTATTTTTCCGAGAGAATATCAAACTTCGCTTAGGTGGACAGATGGTATTGCTATCTCAATTATAAAGTTACATTCATCTTCTGTTTCTCGAAACATGTTTTGCAGATTGTACGACAGTTGAACTTGATTGCTCAAACTTTTTTAAAACTTCACATGGTCATCTGCGGTATCTTGGCATTTTTAATGTTGCTTTCTATAAAGGCAGGTTGGATTGTTGGAGGTTTCCAATTGTCGCGCTCCGGATATGCCTCTGAGCCAGTAAGCTTTTTTTTTGTTCACATACATACAAGTTTCTTAAGTTTTTAGTCACATAAAGTTGCGAGTCTTCAATCAATTTGGCTCACTGAAATAGCTTCTGTTTTTTCAATTAATATTTTCTGAATCATGTTTTGCAGATTTTACGACAGTTAAGCTTTAGTGTTCTGAAACTTTTTTTAAAATTTCACATTGTCACAGCGTCATCTGCGGTACGATGGCATTTTGTTTATGTTGCCCTCTATAAATGAAAAGCAGATTGGAGTGTTGGAATCCTTTTAGTTTCCAATTTTCGCGCTCCGGAAATGCCTCTGCGCCAGGAAGCTTTTTTTGTTCACACGATCTCATATAAAGTTTTTTGTTCACACAGTTGTAAGTCTTCAATCATTTGGATCGAATTAACTTCGGTTTTGTCAAAAGTTTTGTATCCGAAAAAAACGGTAGCTCCTCGTGATGTAACCAAGTTTTTGATAGAGGGATTGAATCTGTGTGTCGCAAGATATCTTTGTTTGATTGAGGGATCGAATCTGTGCATTTTCAAATTGTCAATCAAAACTTTTTGTGATTCGTTGTTTTATATGGTGTTTTGATCGAAACTCTTTCGTATATGAAGGTTATTTTAGCCAGCCGAAACAATATCCATGATTCCGTATCCTTCGCATTTCATCGAAACTATTAGCATATTCGTGTTGATCAAAAACATTTTCAAAAACGTATTCTGATCTAATGCTGCATATTTTGGACAGTTAGTTTGAAAAAAAAAGTATCCTTAGCAAAATTTTTCGACTAAACAAAATGGTGTATGGTCTTGTGAAATCATACGACCTTATAGATCCATGATTTGTTTCAACCGTCGTATTGAAAGCTCGAATGAGGCATACAGACCGTCGTCATATTCATTTATGAAAATTCTCCGAGGCTCAAATTTGATCAACGCGCATTTTGCTTTGTTATTTTAGATTATTTTCTACTTGAATGGATGCCGTAACATAGTAGAATTTTCTCTCCTACGTCTAATCACGGTCACTACCAGTTAGCTTTTATTTCCAAATTTTTCAATAACTGAGGTGTTGCTTAACCAGGTGCAGTTTTCAATGGAGGAAATCGAGAACCATCCTAAGCGAATTCGGTTGTTTTTCCATGATTTCAATCGTTACTCCGTTTTCATTTTATCATATGTAATCTATAGGTTCGGATCCCAACTACTATAACTTTACTCAAACTGAAACTAACAAGGTTGTTGTTTTAGACATTGCACTGCATAAAACCTATGCCTTCGTTGACTTCGACGCTCGAGAAGCGGCCGAAGACGCAGTCCGACTGAAGCACCATTCGCTGTTTAAAGGAAGACCATTGAGTAAGACCACAGACACGGCCAATACTGTATATTCTTTGAACCAATCCAATCTGTACCACCCAATTGCCATCCAATCATCAAGGGCCCCAAGGCACCAAAGCCGTGTCCATTGAATACTAGTTGTAAAAATTAATAAAGGGAGCTGCTACAGTCCTTAGTTGTGGCCGTAATTTCCAGAAAATAGAGTAAATTTTAAGCCGATATTTGAAAATCAGTCTTATTTCCAGAATTATAAATAAATTTTTAAGTCGACATTTAACATGAACAGGTTTTTAAAAAGATGGGAAAACGTTTTTCCGTATGCTAGAATGCCAAAGTACCCGTTGCGTCGATAAAATTAAAAATTGACATTCAGGAACCTTAATGTGCACCTGGCTCCATTATTGAGTTCTCTCCTTTATGATGATCGCCACTTTTCCATGTGTACGGTGAAGATAAGTTAAGCTTACGTGTTATTGGTTTCAAAATTTTGCAGCCGTTGAGCACTCTGATTCCAAAACGGGTCCCAACAAGAAGAACTCGGAAGGTTCGGGGGCCGGTGGCTCCGGCGGGGTCAAAAATGAGAGAGATCGAAGTCGAAGCGGCACAGGTCCACGCGACAGAGATCGAGGTCGCAGCCGCGAGTTCAGGTGAGATGAAACGTCTATCAGGAAAAGGTTCTTAACAGGGAACTCTATTGTATTCAAGATACTGGAATATGACCACCAGTGTTGAATGATATAAGTATGATGTGGATTGTACCGTACTGTTCTGTTCTTGTTGCTCTATCACTTTTGGTGTAATGTGGACTCATGCTTTTTTGTACGAAATGGGATCTTGTCAATCCGTTTCAGTCGTCCATGAGTGGGCTGCGTGTTTGATTTTCAATACAGTAAGCTATGATTTGGATTTGGAGAGTACAAACAGTGCTAGAATTATAAAGTTTGCGGACGATGCAAACTCTGTGATAGCGGGGTTCGGCTCGGTCGAAAACACGATGAAAGTTTTGGAGGAAATTAAAACTTGGTGCTCCACAAATAACTTCATACTCAACGAGGGAAAAACAAAACTGATGACTGTCAAACCGAATGTCATTAGTTTAGTACCACAAGCTTTTGATGGTATTGAGCAAGTGGAAGAGCTTAAAATTCTCGGAGTATTATTTGATAGCAGGCTTACGTTTTCATCGCACATCAAAAGTTTATGCAAAAAAGTAACCAGCAGTATATACCTTTTGTATAGACTAAAGACATTTGGTATGAACATCTCTGCCCTTGATATTTTATACAAAATTTTGGTGCAGAGTAAAATTACTTACGCATTACCGGTATGGGCATGTGCCAATTCGACCGAATTGGCCGATGTGGACAAAGTTCAGCGCAGGGCTCTTAAACTTGGTGTTACTTCTACATTTACTCCAATTTTCGAGCTCATAGAGAACCATGACAACAAACTATTACAGTCAAGTTCAAAACAAGACCATATTCTTCATTCAAAATTGCCAAAACGAGAAACTTATGCAGAAAACAGACTTAGAGAAAAAGCAGTTGCAGCACACGAAAAATTAGAAAAACATTTCAAGCTTTTTCCAGCCAGAGCCTTAAGAAACAAAAACTTTCTATAAACTTTTGTTTGCTTTTGTTCTATCACGTGTAAGATAGATGTGTTTCTATCTTAATTTATTCTTTCTTTCTTTCTTTCTTTCAATGTAGCGTATGATAACGAGATCCCGGCTAAATTTATTGGACAACATCTAGTTAAATAGAATGGAGTGTGATATATCTGGGGCTCGCAAATTTGGGCAAAAAGAAGATTTGGGCGCTCTCAGCAAATTATTTGAAGCGTGGCCAAACAGTATTACTGGTATAATTGAATGTACGACTTGCTCAAAATTGAGCATTGTCCTTCCATGGTCTAAGGTAATAGTACTGCAGTTTCAGAAGATATACCGTGGGAAAGAAGATGTTTTGGTTCTCCCCTACGTATGAGACATAAACACGATTGTATAGTTCAATATCAAAAAGGCATCTGACGAGATTCAACAGTTCATAACAATTTTCAAAGAGTCAATAAGAGACGGAATTGTTACGTTTTAACTGCAACGAATTTAAGCAGAAGCCGGTGGCAGAATTCTGCCACGAATATCTGCCACATTAATTAAGTTTCATTAAAAAATGATATGCTCCTTCGAATCTGGTCCTATTTCACTGGTGGTATATAAACCAGCCGAAGTATAAACCAGCCGAAAATACGTAAGTGTTATATAACAGTTATGCAACGGTTATTTAACAGCTACGAAAGTTATGCAAATTCATTCATATGATGTAAATTTTCTGCTGGCTGACATATACCGCGCGTTTCGGTTGGTTTATTTATTCTCCACTTCACCATCATCAGTTGTACTTCAAATCGAACTATAAGCATTTCATAAATAGCCATGTAAAATCCCCTGCTAAACCATGAAATTTCTGGTTCATAGTCGATGTGATCGTTGAAATATCACCAGATCTCAAAAATCTTTCAAAATATCTCATGGAAATATACCACACCAACGGAGCCTATTTTCAACAAAAAAAATAGCTGAAAACGAGTTCTCCGGTTTACTCCAAGTTTGTGAGCACCAATTTTGATAGCAGAGACTTCGGATTCGGACAACGCATTAGAAAGTTTCAGATGTGGTCAAGTGCGGGCAATATTAAATTTCTTCAGTTGCGCTGCGCCAGTGTCGCGAAATATGTGATAGAATTTTTGGGTTCTTTGTTATTGTCAATCCGTCTAAAATTATAAAAATAGATAGCTATTACTAACAAAGTTTAATTTTCCTCCTCTCACAAAGCCTCCCTGCTCAAAATAAAGCTGTCTGAATTGTTTTTAAGTTTTCACTTACATAGGTCTTGATGTTTTTTTCAGGAAAAGGTCTTGAAATGCTCTAATAACAACAGAAGTGCATTTAAACATATCAATCATTTATGATTGCACTTAAGTATATATGACCTTTTGGAGTTCAATTCAAATTCATCTTGTGAAAGCTAGGTAAATTTGCTCTCTCCAAATACGATAGCTGAAACGGCTCGGTTCAATATTCGCTTCAATTCAGTTGAAGTGTTTCAGGTCAGGGTTTGACTGATCACTATTTATGTGTCATGGAATTTGATTTGCTGGTTGATTTTGATTGCTTGGTTTTTAATTGCTCAATTTTTGTTTCCATATGTAAGCTTTCGGAAACAAACGAAAGTTTGCACGTTTAAGCTATATCCTATATTGCCATGCTTTAGAAATAATTAAGAGATAGGCAGGACGAGGAGAGCAGGGCAACGTCAATTTCATTGTAATATTATCGCTGTAGTGTATTTCTGTCTGCGAAATAAAGCTATCAAAGTTATGCTAGTTCCAACATTTTCAACTTTTTATGCCAGTCGAGCTGGATGCACTCGCGCTCAACAACAAACCACGCTCGAAAATCAAAAATTCAAATCGGGTTGAAAATTGAATTGACTTAAGGTCTCAAAAATGTTCTAGCATTTTAATTGACAGCAAAAAAATTTAGACAAAAAAGATTTAAAAAATATCCAATCACGCAAAATTAGGAACGTTTTGACTACCCTTAACGTGTCTGAAGTAGTTTTGTTGAAAAGATTAATATAACCTTCAAAAAAATTATTTACTGAGCCTCATTAACTCACCAACGCCTGCGCATTTATAGAAAACTAGAGATGTAGAGCGCATTATTTATCCCAAGTTGGCCAAATAGGCAATTTCACGTCTTTTCCTTGCACGAGTGATCTTATCGATATCTTTGCAATGAAGGTTTTTCGATTTCGAATTTAGATGGAAGACAAAAAATTCGTCCAAACTTCGGAGATTCGAATTTTCTCAGAAGAAAAAACTTCTTCCTTGGCCTGAATGATGTGTCAATCTTACTAGCGCTTTCTATTCCTAAAGTGATAATTGCGAAAACGTTGCTATTCTTTTTACATTTCGATATTCAATTTTCAGAATCTACAGATAAATGAAACAAACTTCGTAATTTGTTTATGCGAGGATGCCCATATTGTTTTCATTTTCAGTATATAACGCGAGTGTATTGCTTCAAATATAATCTCAAGGAATTGTGTCAGCATCAGGCAACGTTTCCACAGTCGTTTGAACGATTGTCCTCAAGGGCGGCGGCTTGAGTTAGAGTGAGTTCGAATCCCATCGGTGCCGATTTTTTAAGTGTTAATGAACGAAGTGATTTATTACTTGTAAAGGTTGAGTTGATTGTAGGAAAAAAATTGTTGACGCTCCAATTGGATTCTCAAAATCAGCGAGAGTTAACAGGATTTAAATTTTTCCCGAAATTCTGAAGTTGAACTTTCCAAATTTTTTACCCCGAAATCATTAACACTTTTCCAACTGTCGGTTGGCTATGTTCGAATAGTTTTTTTTAGCAAACCTGTATAATTATTTTGGAATCTAATTTTTGCTTCATCTGTTTTATCAATTGAAAATGATTTTAAAGTATCTTGAATCTTAAATTTGGCCTACAATATGACCTGAGCTTCAATATTCTGAAAGTTCGGAAAATGAGTTTTTGAAAAACAATCATTTTCTATTTGATTTGTGACGTAAAATATTTTCAACGAAGTCTGGGAATGTTTGCTATACCTAATTTCAAAAACCCGCGGTCGATTGTGGCATGAAAATTTCGCCGGCATCAGCAATATGAACTACAACAACATAGTGGAATCAAATTCGGTCTCATTTGCCAGATTCGACGAACTGAATTCGGAATTTAAGTTACTTATATGCCAGGGTAACTTATCACACTTCTTACAAGGCGCTTTTTCTGCCAGCTGTTTTCGAAGTCCAACCTTCTACTCGATTGTTTGTGTTCGTATCGATGATGTATCTGATATTCTTCAGATCCACATTATTCATATTCAGATTTAAGTTTGTCATAGTTTGTTACGAGTTTTTTTATGAAACTCAATCAAGTTTTGGGGCATTTAGGGACGATGGACCTCGAATGGGCGGTGGTGGTGGAGGTCGAGGTGGTTTCTCGCCCCCTCCCCCTCGACCAGACATTTCTCTGGAGGCCAGACTCCGTGAGGTAGCGGAGAGAGAGCGACTGATTGAACTGGAACAGCAAATCATGATCAAAGAGCAGCAGGCTCAGGAGATGCTTATGTAAGAACTCGATTCCGCTTAGTTCATAAGCTTGAGTTCAAGCTTTTTTAAAATAAAAAGTAAATAAAATTGAAATAAAATTGCTCTAGACTGACACATGGTAGAGGAGCAACAATAATAATTTTATTTTCTTTCGTTCCAGAAACTTATAGCCAAACATTTTAAGAATTTGTATATTTACAATTTAGTTCGGTTTGGGAGAATACCAAAAAGGCATCTCCAATAAGATATAAAGAAGCAATAAATGTACAATTTACGTACCTCCTCATTTGTTTGAGTATCTGGGTTTAGTGCGCAAGAAATGGAGAAACGCAAGATGGAGATGATGGAGTTGGAGAGATCTTCGGCAGCTGCGTCCAGCTCACAGGGGCAAATGGGTCCTCCCTCTGGACCAGGGGGGTCAGTCCACTCCAGACATAGACAGATGTCTCCAAAGAGATTCCCTGAAGAGAGATTTCCCGATGAGTTCGAACCGTAAGTGCTCTCAGTACCAGTGGGTTTTCGAGGGCCTTTGTACTAATTTGAGACATCCATTTTTGGCCGACGGACGCTAAAACTTTTCTAAAGGCGACTTTTGAAGGGGGGAGCGCGGAAAATTTTTTGGTCAAATTTTCCAAAAAGGGCCTAAAAACCTCTTTTTGGCCTGTTTTTTCAAAAGTTTGCCTCTGGAACAGAAAATTTGGCCAAAATAGGGTCTTTTTCGTGCTCTGGGAGAGCTCGGAAAATCAATTTAGTGAACCTAAAAAAAGGTTGATAAATAAAATTTTCGAAAACTTTTTGAACATCCCCCCCGTGAAAATCTTAGATCCGCCCCATATCCTAATTATCCAAAACTCAGTTTAAAGTTGCAATTCGAGCTGCTGAGTACAAAGTTGAGCGCGCCTAGCTTAGTTTTAAAAAAAAATGAGACCAATGTTACTCAGTTTCATTAGTTGGCCAAAAAGTGCTGTAGTTGAAAAACTATCACCTTCTTCTGCAGGCATCGCCCAACTAGAAGTTGGTTGAAGCTTGAACGAACGTGAGTCTGACCCATCAGTTGTTAATGCTGATGTTGCTTATGATCATTTTCAGTCCTGCCGCCAAACAGCGAAGGGGGGTGAACAACTCATCCTTCGGAAACAACGATCATTTGGATATGTATCGCAATATGGTAGATTGCTGCGTCATCTACGTCGACAAACAGCTCAGGTAAACGAAAAAAAGCACGTTAACTTCTTTAAACTCTGGTATTATTAAATCGAGAACTAGTTTAGCTTTTGAATATTAGGGAATTACTTTAAGATGAGGTACTCATTCTCAATTATCTGATCGCTTAAGGAGAAATTGTTTAGTGATTTGCCATTGTCGAATTATATTGCTACTGTTTTTGAAAGGTTCAATTCATTGCGTGGCTTGCTAATTAAGGTCATACGCGGAGTCCGTTCAAAACGTCTGCGTCGCGGCCGGCTTGGTCGCAGATGTGCAATTCATTTCGCGTGACGAATCCCTTGCTGGTACCCTGGACAATCTGTCTCAGAAGGGAATCATCTCGGCCGTGATTCTGGACGAACTGAACGAGCAGCGGAAAACTGCCAATGTGCACTTTCTGCACGGCACTCCCCGCGGGGAAATACAGACTGGCATTTCGGAACTGCCGCATTGGCTGAGGATGCACGAAGAGTATAACAAGTATTTAGTGGTCACTGGAAAACGAACACAGTCCCTGCGGGTAAGTCGGCATGCTTAAAAATGATCTTGTAGCTTGTCTGTCATTGGTTGAGTAAGGTTTAGAGCTTCACGTGCGTTAGTTTCACATCGTCAAATTATCAGTTTTTACACTTGCGAAGCGAGTGTATTAGTACGAACCTTTTTTTCCCAACCTAACCTGCAAACAAAAGTGCTAATTTTGGTGGCACTATTGAATCGGTAAGCTGCGGTAGCAGTATATTGTCATATGTGCTTTAACATTTAATTAGTAAAAGTTAACACAGTTATTGCATTTTTAATTCCTCAAATGAACCGAAAACGTTGATTGTTTCAAACAGCAGTACAATGATTTCAGAATTTTTCCAAATCAATGTATCTCTTATTTTTTTAAATGCTTTATTTATACATAATTTGGCTTTGTGCCTTCCAATTTATTACATGCAAAGTTGTGTCTTTTTGTATTTGGTGCCCCTTTTGCGGTATCGATTTGGCAATTTATTAGCATATGCAGCTTGGTTTTTAGTGGCTAGTTTTTGAGGAATTTAAGCATCAGTGGCTGAGTGGTTATGCGTGAGACTCAATGTTGCAAGGTCACAGATTCGAATCCTACATGTAGCCGATTTCTTACTAATTCGAGGCTTATTTCTACTTTTTCTTATTTCACTTGTTAGAGCTACTTTTTGGTCGTGTTCTCGCAAGTGTTTGCGAAGCGCAGCTTCGGCTTTGTCGAAATAAATATGATTACCGTGTAAGTTTAAATGTATATGTGCAAAATTGTGCCAACAAAAGATCTTGTGTGCTATTAAACATGCTACTTCACTTGCAATTGAAAAATTTTTGGTGCAATTTTTGCAAATTAAATTGAAGCATAATAATTTTAGTATTATTCTAAGCCACTTTTGTCCTCATCATTTTTTCTCTTACGTCAACTCAAATTGAGGAAATGCTAAAAGTTTCCAAATTTGTTCGTTTTATTAAAAGGAAGGCAAACTCACTGTCGAACAGCAAAAGTGTACAGGTCACGAAAAACGTGATCGACTTTAGTTTCGAAAGTGGAATTTAATTATCAGTTTCCCAGCGAAATAAAATATTTACTTTTTGATCCAGTTTTCTCAAATTGGGTTAATTTCGTGAAAAATTTTTCAATAATAAATTGTTCTAGAAATTGAAAGAGGTTTAAGACCATCCATTGTTTTAACCGAATTTCGAATGCTATTTTTGAAAAAAAAACAAGTCAGTTTTTTGTTTCTTTGAGTTCATTTTTTTGCGTTCATGTTTTGCTGTTTCAATTTTTTTCTTAAGACTGAGGTCCCTTTTTCAAAAATTGGCCGCCGTGCTGTGAATTTTTTAAAATAAAGTTTGATTTTCGTAGGAGCTACTGGCGGAGCTCTGCGATAACAGAGGAGGAAGTGGACGAGGTGACAACAACTCGACTATGCCGGACCGACATCCACAAATGGGTGGGGGAGGGCCCGGAAGTATGGGACAGGAGCAAAGCTCAAGGTCATTCGCCCGATAAAGACACAATCAAACTACATCCTAGGCTGTTCCTTAAACTTTTTTGTGTGCTATCGCGACAAAGAACCGCCATTTTTTTGAATTTAAGCTGGATAAAATCAAGGAATCGTTGAAATAGAATGAAAAATACCAATTTATTAACGAGGAGCCAACTTTCGCGTTTTTTCCCCAATTGTTATTCTGGCGGTTCTTTTCTCGACTCTCTCGGGTTATTTTTTCTGTTTACACTGCTATTTATTTTTCTGTTCTTACTGCTGATTTAATTTACCATTTTGGACTGAATCGGATTTAGATTTTGTCATCTTTACCTCTCCAGTTGAAGTTTAGAAGTCTTAAACGCGTCGTTTTCTTATGATTAGCCCCCGGTCCTGCTCAATGCAGGATTAACCGTGGGGTAGGGTGATGTCATTCATTTCGCCGCAGCCGGTCCCTCCTTGAGGAGGTGGATGACACTGGGACCCCTCTAACAGTGACCGAAGTGGGATTCGAGTTGAGAGACGTGTGTCTAACCCACTCTTCCACGGCTGCTCTAAGCTCATCATCGTTAGCTCTACAGCTGATATTTTCAATAGTTAAAACATGATTTGAGAAATGTGTTATTTTTCAGATCGAAATGAGATTGATTTAGTTTTGAAATAGTGCGGATACAACAGCGTAGATTTCTGTAAATATCGTGGAGTGTTAAAATAGCGTGGGCAAATTGAAAGAACTAGTGTGGTGGTTGGTTCCTTTCAATCTTGTGATATGGCGTCCAGTCCCATAGACGAAGACCAGTTAGCCGACGCTATCCGGTCGGTGGTGAACCACTTCGTGCCAGTGCTCAAGGACTCCACTTCGGTGGAGCAGGCGGAGGAGTTACTGAGGAATGCAGAGGAGACTGATGAGAACTTCCACAAGCTAGACTTGGTCACGCTTCTCACCAACCGCATTGAATCCGGATTATCTATTGTGAGTATATAGGTGCAAGTGTCAAAAAACGAAGTGAAAACACTTACTGAAGTCTTGTGGTTTTGTCCAGTGAACCGAATACGTATTTTTCAATGTCATGAACAACTTTTGTAATTTTAAATTGTGTTGGGCCAGCAAAACCAATACATCAGCAGCTCAAAACGGGCACACCAGATCAGTAAACTGAAAATGATGTGATCTGATCATTAAACGGAAAATTGTGAAATAGGTGTTAAGTAAACCCAAAGTAAACAACGTTTGTACCCCCCTAAGCTTGCTAAAGATTTTGCGCAACATTGTTTTAAACCAAGATATACAGCTAAGGAATTGAAATATTGCAAGCAATTAATGTGAAAAGTCCTTCAATTTGATTCATTGATGCGTTTGTTTTAAGCTCAGTTAGTACTCATAATCACGCAACTGATGACGTAATTGTTACGCATAACTGTTTCATATGTCGATTTACTGACCTGGTTATATTCTGATGCATCGCTTTAATGCACCTCTACCACAACAGCCGGTGATTGAAGTCGGTCGGGTCGGCCTTAATTTTTTCGCCTTATTTTCCCAATTTTTTTTTCTATTATTTCGCTGATTTTATTTGAGAATAATTGAATCCTTACAAGAAACTTAAAATCTAAACCTGAACAAAAATTATCTTTTGTTCGTGAGTTTTTTGGATAGTTTTCGTATAACGAAATTTTCGTCAACAGCTGTCTGACTTTTTTTCATTTCGATCTAGCTTAAATTGTTTCAGAAAGTAGCCATTTGCTTTGATAGGACTGGGATAAAGCAATTATATGCAATTAATTTCAAAAAAAAATTATCGAAACAAAAGAATTAATTCCAGAAAATTTCTTGGAATTTTTTTTTCGTTTTGAAATGACATCTTGTTGATTTGCGCTATTTTCCCCCAAATAATTGTGTTGTTTTTATGGTTTTGCATAAGTAAGATGTTTTCCTACAGTGTATCAATAAAATTTTAGCGCTTGTTTTTTCAGTTTTTTTGGGCACTTCGTTAAACCAATCAAAATTTAGTTGCTTTATTTGAGGGTTTGTGGGAAAATTAACTTTTTTCTAGTTAAGTTTCGTTTTTTCAGTTGAATTGTGTTTTTTGATTTTTGAGCGCTCTTTTAAAAATAGTTAAAATTCTTCAGTATTTATGAATTTTTCTCTTTCTTGAAAAACGGATCAGAACATTTGATGTTTGGATTTTTTTCACCTTGCGCAATTTACAAAAGCTTGCATCGCTTGTCTTAGCAATTCAGTGTAGTCCGGTGTAAGTTTTTAGTAGGAGTTGATCTGCAGATCTTGATTGTTTTTAAAATTCTTTTTTTTTGCTGATGACTCCAATAATTAGTGAGACACATTTCTCAAAATTTTTCTTCTTTTCAATTTTCTGAATCGTAACTGGTGCGAAGCTGGGCTTCGCCTCTCTGTTTTTAACTGTGTTATTTTGTGGTTGAATTAATTTATTTTGCCAAAGGGAAGTCAATTTTTACTCTTCAATAATGAAATTGTAAATGGCGCGACATATGGGATTCTTTTTTAGTTTCGTAGGACTTATTTTTTTGATTTCGCGGAATAACAAAATTAGCTATCCAGCATTTAAATTTAGAATTTCAGAGCTATCAAGTTTTTTTCACAAAAAAGTTCGTGTTCGGATCAAAGGTAGTATATCCAGTTTTTGTCGGCTCAGTTACCGCTCGATAGATGGTTCTGAAGATTTGTTTAAGCCGATGGTGTTTCTGAATGTGTTAACTCAGATTTTCTGCAAAGGTGATGGTGTTTCTGAAAGTGTATTTCTCAATAGAAATTTTTGTATTTAAGGGTTTTTGGAGTCGTGAACGATATGAAGGTTCTTTAATGGCCGTGATGGTTTTATTAAGTTTTTAAATTACTCAACGTGATCGACTTCTAATTTTGAAAATGGAGTACCTTTTAAATTTCCAGATTTCCTAGCGGAATAATTGTTTTTCATAATTATCCAGTTTTCTAGTTTTCTCAAATGGAGTTAATTTTATCAAAAAACTATCAGTCATATGCTTTTACTTCGAAATTCGTAATCTGAAAAAAAAATCAATTCTTTGTTTCGGCTCAAGTTTTTTCGTTTATCGTTGAAACCGCCTCAGACATGGCATTCGTATCATCGTAACGCCTATCGGTACATATCATAGTAAGAATAGCTGGATATCTCGCAGTTGCAAAGCTACTTCTCAAATCTTTTAAATGAAACAAATTGAAACGGAAGATATCCCACGAGTGGCTGGCCCATTGGAGGAATAAACCATCCAGTAAGTGGCACTTGCACTGAGAGAGATGAAAAATAAGAAAACAGGGCTAACTTTGGACATGATAAAGTTTTGACCAAGGAAAAGGCAATCCGTTAGAATGTGGAGCCTACAGAGGCATCCGATTACCGGAACATGCATTTGGAGTTTTCGAATAAGTAGTAGAAAAACGTCTTAGATGACATGCAATTTGGCTTTAAGGGTGGTAGATCAACTACCAATGCCGTTTTTCTTATCAGACACATGAAGAAACTTTGCGGAGTGAAAAGAAAACCCTCCATCACATATTTAATGATCTCGAAAACCCTGCGACCGTGTTCGACGGGAACCGATCCCATGGGCTCCGAGGCAACTGAGTCGAAAACTAGAGTGCGCTGTCACCATGGATGCTGTGGTTTTTTTCGAAAAAAAGTAAGCGTGCGTCAAGGATCGGCACTTAGCCCATTGTTATTTATAGTAATAATGGAGGAGGCTACGAGAAGCTGCCATTCCATGGTTTAATGTTATATGCAATATTGAGATGACCTTGTGCTATCCGCTGAAACGGAATCCAAGTCTATTGAGAAGTTAAATACTTGGAAAAAGGCTTTGCAAAAACGCGGTTTAAAAATCAACGTGGATATTGAGAAGTTGAATACTTGGTCCAAGGCGTTGCAAAAACGCGGTTTGAAAATCAACGTGGATAAGACAAAGCATGTGAAATCAGGGCAAAAGTGTATTCCTCGAAAAACGGAAAAATTGTCATGTGCTTGTTGTTTGAAGGCAGTCGGCACAAATTCAATACGCTACAATTCTTGTAGTCAATGGGTGCATAAAAGTGCAGTAACATCAGGAAAAACTTAAACCTAATACTAATAATGTTTGGCCAATATGCAATAAGCCTTCCAATTATCTTTCAATTTAGAATGATACTCGAAGGGATAATCAATTTGAAACCCTGAGTACTGTCAAAGAGTTTTGCTATCTGGTTGATATGAGTTCCGTTGAAAGTGACGCAATACGTGCATACTCGGTCAGAATAGCAGCTTTCTGCACGAAATGGCGCAAATTGCGCCTCTGCTACTGAATAAGGACCTTGACTTGGTTAAAAGGTGTCATAGTTACGAAGCTTGTCACCGGCCAGGTTTGATGTACTGCTCTGAAACCTGGGTTCAGACCGAGGCAATATCCAGCTCAATAAAGAAAACTCCGCGTAGGGTTATAAAAGCTCTGCGTAGGACTAAAGGAGTCACTTATAAAGACAGAGTTACCAACAAAGCAGTAATTAAAAACACAGGTCTTGTGGATCTGGACAAGCTACATTTGCGGTCGCGGCTACGATGGTCTGGCCATGTTCACCGAAGAGAAAATGAACATGCTCTAAAATCAAAAGACCATGTTTCAGTCCCAGGGAAAAGACCAGCAATAAGGCCTAAAAACGCTGGATCGATTGTGTTAAAAAAGAGTGAATACTTTACAGACTGCCTTGATCGAATGGCATAGAAAAAGTGTTATTATCCTGTTAGTAGCTTGAATGCTGTTCAGAATGCCCTCATCTGACCAATACGCTACCAATACCCTCATTGCTTATGCGCTTTCCGAATGTCCATCCCCGCCACAATGGGTAAACGGACAATAAACGCATAAACTATGTTCTTTTTGATAGCTTGAAGCTTATGTTTGTGGTGTTGAAAATGAAAGAGCTTTAATGAGATACAATTTTTCTCTGATATTCAATAATTGAAATATGCTCAGAAAAAGATCCATCCTAATTTTCGGTCTAAGTTCTTTCGTTTATTGTTGAAACTGCCTCAGACATCACATTTTACTTGCGAAAAATTGAAGCAGCAAAATAAAGGAAAAATTCCGGGAAAAATTGAATAATTGGGCGATAAGTTTCCGGCTCAATTGCCACACCACCATTTTGGTTTAGTTGCGCTGTCAGCAGGTTTAATTGTGATATCATGTGTCGCTGATTAACTTCTGTAATTTTTGAGTTTTACAATCCCTGACTGGTATGTTTTCAATTTTTTTTACATATATCAAAATTTTATTCGTTCTATATAGTTTTGGCTCATGTTTTGTCGGTTTAGTGAGCTTATTTTGTATCTGTTTAAGAATAAAAAATGTTTATCTTGTTTTGAAAAAATAAGGTCGGTTATATTATAAAATTACAAACTCAAACAATGTGATTGCTCAAAAAATTTTTATCAAAACAAATTCCTTAGGCGTTTTTTTTATTTTCGGATCAATTTTCGACAAACCACGTGTTGCTGGCTTAGTAAACGCTCGGAAAAAAACAAAACTTGCTTTTGGCTGGTTTTTGTGTTTCTTGTCTGATTTTTTTGAGATTGAACTTTCTGTGTTTCCCAAAAAAATTGTTGATTTTATATCACTTTTTTCTCGGAAAATACAAAGCTGATTCAATGCTAGTGGTTGTATTTTTCGTCTGATTTTCTGAGATTGAATTTTTCGAATTTCGAAAAAATTTCAATTGTGACCTAGTTATATCTATCTGAATGTGTTTTCTAGTAGCTTGTTATGCTACGCTTTCGTTGTTTTGCAAGTGATGCGAAGCTCTGCTTGGTCTCTTTGTTAGTTTCTTTTTTACAAGGAATTTTTTTCTAAGAATTTGGTCACGCTCAATTTTTTTTGATTATTTGACGCTTGAGTTTTTTCGAGCCAACACTGTTTTTCATATATCAAATGTTAAGCAAGTTTAGTTTTTCGACAGTTAATTTGTTTGTGGAGAAACATATAGCTTGGGGTTTGTTTAAATTCCGAATATTTATTTTTATTCCAGTGAAAGAAAAATAGATCTATCGGTCGAACTGTCTCCAGTTGCGTTCGTTTCAACAAAAGTTGATGATCATAAAATATCTTAGAAATTGGAAAAAAAGATTTCCAATTCAATAGTTTATCTATTATATATTTAAATGCCGGCTTCACTATCTCGCCATCTTTAAGCTTTTTCAACGTATTATTTTGGGATGTTCAACGAAAGAATTTTTGCACGTTTTATCTATATCGTATATCGCAATGGTTAAAATTTATTTCGATTTTTCATTTCGAATTCAGTGTTTTCTTCACTAAATGGGATGCTGTCAAATATGCTTGCCCAAATCTTTTTAGTTAAGAAGATACGTCGATTTTTGTGATTTTTCAGAAAGTTTTGAGCTCTCCAATTTAAAAGTAATTCACAAAATTTGGAATTTTTTACCGTTTAGTTGGGGCCTGCCATCGTTTTCTCAGGGGTTGCGAACTGCAACACTCAAATGCTTTTAGTTTCCGAGATGTGATTTTTTTCTGAAAGAACTTAGATATAAAAACTTCACAAAATTTGAATACATAAAACCTTTACAAAATTTGAAATTAACAACCCTGTAATTGGGTGCTCTCAGTGTACACTAATAGGTTGCAGTTCTTTTCTCCAATATATGCGGTGTTTTATGAGTAATTAAGAATTGAAAGCACCGGAGGTGCGTTACATGCTAGTTTTCTCTGAAAGATGACAAATTTGGATGACAAAAAAAACGGTTTTTTTTCTATACTCTTTAGCTCCCTAGCATTTTTCGAACCGTCTGTTGACTAGTTTTTGGTATCGGTTTGGTGTTAAAAAAATTAAAAGCAATTGAAGATCATTTTTCAAAGTTTATATTAGGTGACAACTTTCACACCATTGACTTAGAATTGAACTGAAATGTTTCTCCCCAAAGAAGCGATCTTAAGTAAATACTTTTAAATCCCTTAGTCTAAATGTTTTTTTTTGCATTTTTTGGCTCTAAAAATTGGCGTGGCATCAAAACTCGTACATGCGTGCTATTGTGAAAAAGATTTCTCTGGGCAGCTGTTGCTATTGAAAACATGAATTATACCGTGCTTTTGAATGCGCCGATCTTAGCTTCTAATTAACTACAGGTACTTGACAAGGAGCTAGAGCGTCAGAAACTGAACGAGCGTCCCGTGCATATTCAAGGCCAGCTACAAGAACGAATAGTGTCCAATATCATGCAGTCGAGTGTCTATGCAGAACTCAGACGGGATATTCTGAGCAGCACTAAGAATGCAGTAGACCGGCTGTGTAGTGAGTACGTGGACGAGGACCACGAGGTGGCCAAGGGGGCAGAGAGACAGTTTGGGGGGTCCAACTGGGCCGGTGGATATACGGGGGGTTAGTTAATGATAATAATAGTGTTTTTGGGCAATTCAGTTTTGGCCAACAATTTTACGGGGTAGGATTTTACAAACCATGCCAACAATTTTACTGGCCATGAGAGCACCGTTGGACCTACTGGTTACTCCAGAGGTGTCTCAGAGTGGAAATTCATTTAGTAAATTTTTGATACTGGATGAGAAATAAAATCTCCTTGTTTGAAATAAAATTATGTGACTACTTACATTTCAATTTTTAAAGACTTCCGCCTAAAAACGAGAAAAATTAACTTTATTAGAAAAAATGCCGAAAAGTCATGGATCTGGTTTAATAGAAAGTTTTTCTGATGACACTTCTTTATCAAGGATGTAGCAGTCTTGCAAATTATGATTGAATGAATTCACTTTCTTGGTGGAATTTTTTTTTATGTTTGTAAGTTAGATAGTTTAGGATAATGCTCAACATCTTTCTTAGCCCAATAACAATTGACTAATTTGAATTTTTGTGTACTGTTGTTGGTAGTCTTCTTGCTGTAATGCGCATCTCCAAAAGTTTTTTCACTTCATTATCCGTAATGAGCTTGTTCAAAATTTGAACAGGGCTTTCACTAGCTTATAGAAATCAAACTCCTTGTCCAGAAAGAACTTGTTTTTCAATTTTGATATTGGATTGATTGGTATTTACGTGCTCTTAAGATAATTCTGATTGAGAATTCCCTGTTTGATCCAGAGTTTCTGCTTTGGTCGTCTTTGTGGATGCGTGAGCCAAATCACCATACTATAATATAGGCAGCACGAAAGTTTTGTAAGTTGTTAAAGGTGCTTGGTCGATCGAAATTTTCGTAGTTTTTAAAGAATTCGGCAAAACTTCGTGACTGGTTTACCGAGAATATCACCGTATTCATCGAAGGTCACCTGTTCATCTAAGTGATTCCCAAGACATCAAAAAACTTCTTTCGCTCAGTTGGATGATCTTTTAAGTTTAAGGGATTTAGTTTTTTCTGTGAAGTCTGCCTAAATTTCAGGTTTTGTTTCATCTGCGTTTAATGTGAGCTTGTTTTGTTAGTCCATAGCAGGACTTGCTTTTTAGCAGGACAATTGATCTACAGTATGAGTCTGCATTGTGTAGTTTTCGTTTCATCGTGAAAATTGTGCCTTATATTTTGATAAGTGAAACGATTAACTGAACTGTGCCTCGACATGACCAAAGCCCGAACTGATTAGTGTTTCGTAATCCAAATTGTTTGACATCTGGTATCATGCGGTTGTATATAAGTCTTTCCAAGAGCTTACCTATCACTGGCAGTAATGCTATTGGTCGAAAATTTGAAGGATCTACCGTATTGCCCTTTTTATAGACTGGAATCATTCAAGCCAATCTAAGCGAACCTAAAAAATTGGCTTCATCAAAACAATTTTTTAATACTTTTTTTGAAAATTGTTCCAAAAGCTTATTTATCGTTTTTCAAAAAGTAGTTGTTCAAACTATAAACGTATGTGCTTAGTTTTTTGATAGTTTCTTATACTTTGAAAGTTTCCTCGTGCCCAATAGAGATCAGATACATTGAATGAATTTTTTGCTCTATATTTGGCTATCTATCATTAAACGTGGTTGCATTTTTTTTAAATTTATCATCAAAGTCTAAACAATGTTTTGGTTTGTTGGTTTCACTCGTAGGTTAGTCCGAGTTCCGCAAAAACACGAACTCTTTTTTAAAACAATACTTGCCAATACAACCAGCTAAGTTGTCATTACAATCTCCTTATACTGCAAGTATTTTTTTTGTGTTGTCAGCATCAGAGAATCTAGATAAATCACCAATTTTTTTTTTCGTTCGCTGATGTGGCTGGACATAAACTAACGTTAAAACAGTGCGAAATTTCTGCGCATTTAGACCAATTGTTATTAATGCGAATGGTAATATCTGTTATCTTTCCTGTAATTTTGTAATTTTGGTCTTCCCTAATAAATACACCAACCCCGTCTTCCTTTCTTTCTGCAGCTTTTTTCAATCAAATCATATCCCTCGAGAGTATTAACCTCACTGTCTCGGTCATTTTTCAGCCAAGTCTCAGTCAAACATATTTCCACCAGTATTTCCTCAAGACTGTGAACCAAAACTTGTAGCCCATAAGCTTTTTTCTACAATGAGCGTTTGTTTTGCAAATTTAAGGAGTCCGTGAATCGAGATTTAAAAGTTCCTAACTCTGATAAGGCCTTGTAAACCCTATGAATCCTTCTCTCAGCGGTTATAATTTTTGTAAAATTCAATTCTGAAAGTTTCGTTTTTTGTGATAAATTGTGCTTGAGCGGTTCTAATGAAAACGAAAGTTTGTTCATAAAAATTGTTTCGTATTTCATTTTCACGCTTGCGATTAGCAAGCTTTATCAAACCGGAATACACTTTTTTTGGGTTAAAACTAATTTCATGGAATCACGTGATTCATTTTAACTTTTGTCGACGTTAATTCGCACATGTGACGAAGAGCTAACGGACTTGCTTGTAAAAACAAAGGTCAATGGTTTGAATCCGGCCAGGACCAGATTTTTTCAGCGGAAACTTGTCCGCGCGTCCTAAAATCTTTGTGCGACTTGTTTGTTTTTTTTTGGCTAAGTTGCCGCAGCACCAAAACTCCCTAAAGGTTAAGCACTTTTTATTCAAATCAAAAGAATTTTCAGCGTTTTCTGGTTTTAAACTAATTGAGTTCCAAGAAGTTTTCCCTATTTTTTTTTCTTTTTTTTGATCTTTTTTTTAATTTTAAAGTGGTTTGATGAATGAATTCGAGGATTGTTCTGTGCATTTGGTTCATTTAAAACATACATGCTTGAGACTAGAAATCGCAGATTTTTGATTCCAGTCGATATCTGTTTTTTCATGGAAACAGAATTTCGTGTCTGCTATTTTTGTCGGCGTGGGTCCCGAATTAAGGTTTGGTTTTCTTCAGCATTTTGCAAGCTCTTAGTAAAGTTCTTAATGGTGCAGGTAATGTTTTTCCAGGTATTTTTTTGTCATGTTTGGCCATTTTTATAACTTTTGTAACAAAAAAAAACGTTTTTTGAATTTTTTCTTTTCAATTTTTTCTTCACATTTGCTGTTAATCATAGTCATTTTTTACGCCAGTAGTACGAAGCTCCGCTTCGTCTCTGTATTTTGAAGTGAATGTGAATATTTTTTGTTGTCTTCGTCAGTGAGAGAAAAAAAGAAAGAAGAAAAAATATCTCGAAAATATATATAACAAAATGGGCTGTTTCAAATAATTAGCCCCAGGAACTATCAAGTTTGAAATCGTTTCAATCTTACCTATTTGAAAAAGAAACTGACTAAAGTATCAAAGTTCAAAACCTCCAAGGTGTACCCCTGTCTTGGTCTTAGCAGGTCACGAACTCACAACCTGACAAAAGGCTGCTCGCTGACTCACAGGCAGGGCACTTGGAAAACAGTTTTTAAGGGAAAAATGAAAAACAAGTGTTTCCAAGTGCAGAAAAAATTTTGAAACAAATTTCGGAATTTTTTTCGAAAGTAACTGGATTCACTTTTGCAAACTCTACTTGCTATCGTGATACAATACTTCCCTAATTTTGCAAACAAAATTATTGAATCATCAATTTCACACGTTTTTTACGAAGTCATTGAGAAGTTTCAGTTTCAGGCCGTTTATCTACTAGGCAAAGCCCCAACTTACGATCTGGGATCTTTTTCAACCCCCATGTCTGAAATGTTTTTTGAAAAACCATTTAAAAAATGTCATATTTCAATGAATATCGACATGGTGAGCAAACTAATTATTTTGAACAGATTTGTTCTTCATACTGTTTCTCGCAATAAAAAAAAGTGTTTCTGATTGTTAACCCAAGGTGACAGGAAGAAATGATGAAAACGAATTTTTTGCTATAGGTCTGGTCAGCTCCAAACGAGGAGGTGGAACGCAGTACTCTTTCTCGGAAGATTCGAGTGTAGGTGGCTCCAGCTACAACCACAGTGGGTTTGGCTTTATCGGAATTGACAGGTTCAAACAGATTGTCACTGGACTGGAAACGAAAAACTCTTCCGAAATCAGAAGAGCCTCGATGATAAAACTTTGTCGACTGAACCCATCGGATATGTTGGACGAGGTTCAAAACCCGCTTAAATCTGTTATTTTTGACTGTTTGGCTGACAGTGATCCAGTGTTAGCTGAAAAAGCGTTCGCCTATACTTCAAAATTGCTGAGTAATTCAAATGTAGGGCTGACGAAATCTGTGTTTGCATCTTTCGCCGAGCATGTCAAAAGTCAAATCAGTTCGAAAAGAGCTCAGCAGATGTTGAGTTACAGGGATGGAGTATCAATTGATTCTCCCTTTTTGAGCCAATTATTGGCAAAATTCAGGCTCATTAAAGACTTCCACTTGCAAGTATCGAAGTATTGGATCCGATATCCATCTGAAAGCCTAATGGAGATCGTTATAACTAATACCTTGAATTTGTTGTCTGTGCAAATTGGTGGCGTGACATCGAAGGACAAAGAATCGATCAATGAAATTCTTACACCAGCGCATCTAATTGCATTTCTGGATCCGGTGGCGTTGTGGTTTAAAACCTGGATCCACGGCGCTTTTAGTAGAGTTCACCTTTTAGAAGAATTGGCAAAAAACCGAAATTTCGTTGAGACAACAGCTTTGGAATGCTACAAGTATTACGATTTCAAATCTAAAGCAAAAGTCAATGATCCTTTGGATGTTGGAGATGCGAGCAAAGTTACGCCACGGAATACAGGGTCTGAAATAACGTACAGAGCGAAACAAGTGCGATGCATTCAGTTTGTGCATGCTATGAATATAATGACCCACTTGCTGAGATTCAAAAAAGGTCGTGAACTTTTTCCCATCAAAGACAAAAGTACAGGAGAGGTTATTTCAATACAAATGTTTCTTCTGAAGTTGCTGAAATTTATAACCAATCCAGTTTCAGTCCCAGCTAAAAATGTTAAGCGAGTTTCGGGATCTGAAAAACATATGGATACTGCCCACTTGGTCAAAAAGCTCTTCAAGACACTGTCATACGAAGAACTGCCGTGCAAAGAATGTATATGCAGCAAAGCTATTGTCGAAGTCTTGATGGAACCGGTTGTAAGTTGGACCGAGTATGCACACGGTAACATTACCTGTACGAATTTGCCAGGCAAGACCACTATGGTATATGTAGCTGAAATTCTGATCAATATGGTATCTTCTGAGCCTGGCCGATGTTTCTTCAAATCGGTATCTGTGAAATCTCCGCTGGTCTCTACAACGTCAGCAAAAGCTTCGCAAGCCAAGACAGTTGATATGAACCCATGCGAAGTTCTGTGTGATTTTACTGTAAGGGCGCTTAGAGGTGAAATAAAATCGGGCGTTTTTGATTCCGGTAACTCTGAGCCGATCATTGAGAGCTATATATTCTTGTGCAGGCAGTTGTATAACCATCACGAGGAGTTTCAACTAATGCAATGTGGAGATCTGGCTTCTGCTCTATCGCAAGCATGGCATGAGTCTCTGAGAAATGTAGATCTTACACGGACTCCGACCCCAACTGGAGGCACCGAAGGACCCTCAGGGTTTCGAGACCAGGGTGCTGCAAAGAGTTCGACCCAGGCAATGCTGACACATTCTGGATCTTTAAGCGTTAGACTGGACTCAAACAATGATGAGCTCAAATGGCAAAATGTGCTTGTAGATAATTTGCTCAATTTCGCTGCTACTCCCAAAGGACTGTTGCTTCTGCTTCAAAGCGGAGCTGTTGATAGCTGTGCACACTACATGTTTGGTCGGTACTCTAAGAAACTGCAAGTGAGCCGTTGTGAAAAATTTGGATACGGAGTTCTGGTGTCGCGTATATCTGGATGCGCTGCCGGCATGCGCGCTTTGAAAGAAGCTGGGTTCATTTCGCTCTTTGTTTCCGAAATCTGGAGTAATATTGAATCTTGTCCTGATGACAGAAAAATCGCGTACCCGTACGTCTACCCCACAGATCCGATAGACCAAAGCTGCATGAAGTCATTCAACTCGCTGATGAATGTTCTGAGCACTTTTACAGCTGTATACGAGCTGTTCTATAGAGTTGAGTTTCCTACGAAGCAGAAGTACAGCTTAAGAGATGTACCTGAAGACATCGTGGATCTTATCAACCGAGTGGTTATGATAGCCGATCCAGTTAAAGTGGACTCTGTTTTCAACGTGGAGCAATCGCACGTGTTTGGTCTGCGTCTTATTAATTCAATTTTTGCGTCTCTCGACTCCTTATTGTTGTTCCGAACGCAATACAAAGTGGAAGAAGTGCTGCTTGATATGCAGAAAGGAAATTTAGTCGAAGAAGAAAAACCGGGTGGTAAAAGTTCATATTACGTTCTTGACATGCCAGTTGTCGAACGGAACCACGTGTTAATTCGCATGCTGACAATAGGAGGATCCGAAGAACGAGTTTTGCCGCCACGAGAAGTGAAGAAGGATTGCTCAGATTATAATTTCCCAATTTTCCATAAGCTCCCTGTTCCAAGTTTATATATTGTCCAAAGCAGCAAATCCCCTGCGAAAACTTCCTCGAATGAACTTACAAAGTTTTTGAGTAATACCCAAAATTGGGAGCGCGACCAAAAATGGCTAACAAATTGTACCGATATAATGCTTGCCACAGTTCAAAATAAGCAACAGATTAAAGGCGCTCATCTCGCAAATATTTTGGAAAAGGCACTGGAGGCGAGAAGCAAATTGAACCCTGACCTTTTGATGTCCAAACAAAAACCCAGCGTTGCTCAATTGGCAACTGAAAATTTGATGCCGTCTGAGAGCTTAGCAGTTAAAATGATTGCCACGTATAGCACGAATTTGAAAATCCTGAGCTGTGATCAAAAAGAATCAGAAAGTTCACTAACAACTACATTGAAGCGCGTTCAGTCGAGCCTAGCTGCCGAAACTAGAAAGGCCGATAAGAATGAATCAGAACATAAACTGGTATCTGCGAGTAAATTTGCAGAAAGCGGCCGATACCCTTCAATGGATTGGTTTGCTGCAGTGGTCCATTTGATGTTCGGAGCTGACTCGAAACGTTGTTGTGCATTTCTCTCAGATTACGCAAACGTGAATGAATCAATATGTATTTGGCCAGCAAGAGGTTTTATGTTCCATAACGGACCCAAGGCGTCTACATGTGAGCTGGAGCCTTTGATGTATATCGTGGGCAACAATTTGGAGTTGATAGTGGAAAAAGAATTACCGAACATTGACTCGGCGTTCAGAATGAGCGGGTATTCTCCAGCATTAATTGCTCAGTTCTGGTTACGACAATGTTTTATTAACATTCTTAACTGGCCGGATATTGTAAACTATGTATTATTGAGTGTCGTTTGCGGTGTTGATTTTGCAATCTACTTCTGTGTCGCAATTCTTAAGCACTTGGAGCGAGATATATTGACTAATAGTCAGCAGCAGACACTTCTAGTGTACCTAAAGGATCTGCCTGTCAGTGGATTCAAAACAAGTTGCTATGTGGACTTCATGAAGAAACTAAAGGGCAAATATCGAAAGTTGATTCAAAAAAATCTGAACTCTGTATTTAAGTAGCTATTTTTAGTTTGTTCTATTTTTAGTTTATGCTGTTTACAGGGCCTCCGATATTTGTATTGCAATATATTTTGAACTTGCAATAAATAATTCCATTGCGAAACTTCCGCAATAAATAATTGTATTGTTTAACTGTTGCAATAAATAATCAATTATTGCAATTATTGGCCCAAAAATTGGCCCAATGAATTATTGCTGATCCCTGATATTTTCTACGTAAAAAATTGGTCTTGAAAAGTTTAAATTAGTTTCTCAACTGTATAAACGTTCCAGTACATTTTGTTTACAAATAAAAACAAAATCGATTCCAAATGCATCGGGGAGAGAGATGTTCGCAATGATCCCAACGTAAGTTTCGCTTTACTAAAAAGCCGTTCAACTATGTTTGAAGTAGGGGGTATCCATTTAACCGAATATCCATACATCTTTCCCAGTTTAGTCTTTTTGGCAGCTAAAACTGAATCAGCGTAGTTCTCGATCTCTGCAGCAACAGTGTCAGAATCTCCTCCTACTTTGAAAAATCGCACCAAATCAAGTTCTTCTGAATTGAGTATTGCTTCTTCGCCCATTAAAATTTTCACTAAGGTTTTTTCAAACCCGAACGAATGAACAATTTGTGCACCAGGAGAAAGATATTGCTCTAAATCAGGATACTGCGTGATAACGTCGTCAAACAAAACTCTAACGTCTAGAATATCTACTTGATCATTCTGCAACTTCTTGGTAACTGAATCTAGTTTTTCGAGGTCTTTTAGCACTGTTTCCAAAAATAAGTTTTCTTGCGCACTAGGGGCTAAAACAGCTAATTCGGGATCAGCCCAATCAATAAAAGGTCGTAAAGCAATATAACGTTTGATCATCTCGTACGTGGAAGACCACCTTGTTGCATTTCTCAAAACAGGTCGTAAATTCGTCTTTTTTCTCAAAACTGCAGCTTTTTTGACAGAGAGTAATTTTTTCATTAAACTGGTAATGCGGTCAATACTTTCTTGTCGTGCTTCTAGATAAAGGTTGCAGGCAAGATTGAACCGATGACTAGCACAGCCAATTAATGGTATGTCCAGTAAAGTAGCTAACCTTTTATTAACGCTTGCGTTGTCGGCAACCATGAATGACAGATTTTCGATCGTTTTCTCATAAACACCCAGTGTTGCAATAACGAAGTCTAAATGATTAGACGCAGATAAGTTTTCCTCGTTCAGTAAAGGTGAAATTGCCAATAAAGGGCACATTACAGTTTTCTCATTCTCGTAGCAAGCAAATATGGCAAAATAATGAACACTATGATCCGTCCACCCATCCACAATAATTCCGAATTTACTGGGTAATTTCAGTGCTATGGTTTTTTCAACATCCATGGTCAACTTTTCAATGTAATTGGTAATTGAATCAGTAGAAACTGGTTCGAGATTTGTGTACTTTCTGGTCAGCTTTTTCTCAGAGAAACTCAGTTCCCTGTTCTCCATAATAATCCATTCAAGCCAACCAAACAAATTAGCAGCTTTTTTAGAAACGCCAGCGCATATAACAGCATCTCCAGATAAGGTTCCTTGACTGGTATCTGTAAGAATTTCTGCCCTCCAGTTAGGGTGTTGTTTCACAATATGAGACATAAGATTAGTAAATCCAGAATTTGGTTTGCGTTTTCGTTTGCACCCACATTTACATTGATACTCATCTACCCCAATTTTTGTAAAATAGAACTCAACAACTGGGTCTTTTGATGTTCGGGGTACCATAGTATTGTTTGTAACTTAAAACACAGCACAAGTTGTTGCACAACTATCTTTGTAAGCCACAAGAACTCAAGTGTATTTGCAATGCAACAGCTGTATTTGCAACATGTGACACATGAGAAAACGACAACAACACAAGCGTCATATCAAGGGTTACTGTTATTGCGATAATAATTGCAAAATTCCAATAAATACACGATATTTTGAAATGGATCAATAAATAATGCAATTATTTTTATGTTAAAATAAATTATTTTGCCCTAAAAATAATATTTATTGCAATTATTGCAATACCAATATATTTTTCGGAGGCCCTGGCTGTTTAGATAAATACCAAAATGTTTCAGCACACCATTTCTGTACCAAATCATATACACTGGCTTTGAAAGACGTTGTGTCAATTGTAAATTGTTTATAAAAATCACAGGAATAAAAATTGTAAAAATTTAGTTTGTAAATAATCTGCTGCTCAAGTCAATATAATCACCAATGAAGAGAATGTATATCTGCATCCTTTTTTTTTAGCTGATTGGCAGCAGTAGTGTTGGAGTTTAATAAAAAATAATGAAATAAAGGGATGCGGTGATGGTGGTGGTTGGTCTCGATGAGAAATTCATTTTAACGTTTTTGTAGCTCAACCGAATCGCAAGGCTTACCTTAGTTAAAGATTAATATCTGCATTGTTATCATTTTTTTAGTTTTTGAAAGACCTACCTTGTTTAAGTGTCAATTTACGTAGTGAAGACACATATTTAGGCCGTGACAATTTTTATGTGTTTGTTTTGTGAAAAAGCATCATCAAAAACTTTTTCACGCTTCAGTCCAATTCAAGTTCATTTTTTAAAACGGAGGCACATTTACTCTTTAAATACGAATGCAAAATTGGCGCGAAAAGTCTCAAAAAAGTCTCAGACCAAGTGTTTTTGAAAGATAGGGCTATTTTAAGTATTTTGGCAGAGCTCGGAAACCGATTTGGTCAAGCTGAAAGTCTACTAAATTTTGGAACATTTTGTGGAATTCCGCGGCCTTGAAAAAATAATCATAGATTCGCCCCTGACTTGAGTGCTTAATTTTACTACATTGGCTTTTTCGTAGTTTCAATTGCTCGTTTTTACCGTTTTTGCTTGCTGAAAAGTTCTTTTTATTTTCTGTCTGCTTGGTTTCAATGTTATGTTTGTTTGGTATCGCAAGTGGTGCGAAGCTCCGCTTCTCCTCTCTGTAAATTGTTGAGGATCGTTTCTTGTGATAACTTGACATCTAAAACATGACTTTCGAATTACTGTCACAGTGCAAAAAAGCTGCAATTTGATTTCAACAAGCACATGAACGAATTTGTATTTCAAAGTTTTATCGTTTTCTATGCAAGTATTAAAGATATAGGAGTGAATTTTTGACCTATTATGAACTTACCTTTTTTCCAACCTAAGTCGCAACTTTTAGTGTTCTTTTTGAAAGTGTTCTGTTATTGCAGTATGTGCATAAGATCAATAACCAGCTATTAAGTACAGCCAATGCTAAGGAGATTAACACAGACTATTATATTACAAATAGCATTTTAGCTTCAAGGTATCATTGGTCTCTATCGTAGAGGTGGGGAAGGAGACCCGCAACAAAATAAGAGGGTTCAAACCTGGACAGGGTTGGATGTTTTTAATGAACTTTTTCGTGTACTAGTTAGAATGCGTCCTCTCTATAAATTGAGGCATGTTACTTGTTAATTTTTTTGTCAAATTGACGTACTGCTAATGCATCATAATTGGCTTGCGTCACTTAGCAATTATGTAGACTCATAGTTTTACTCATTCAGTTTTTTTTTCCTGTAGCGTTATCGGTCATATTTCTGCTTGTGTATGCGAAGTGCAACTTGGCCTCTGTGTAAATCTTGCTTTGAAGGCATAAAATAGCTAGTTTTTCTTGGCTAGTTTTGTAAGTAGTCTTGCTATGAAAATATCCTCGCAATTAAACCAAGTAATTTGAGTTTATCGGCTCAATTTGGATCTTTAAGGACCTGATTAGCTTGATTTACACTTTTTTGTTTCGGAAAAACGACAGACAAAAGAAATGAACGAATTAGTTGCTGCGGCCTCAATTACAGTCAAATTTAATTTTGACGATTGAGACATAAACAACTCGTATGCGCTCATACCAGAAAGTTGGTTTACAGACAGAGTCAACACATTGTTTTGAAAATCATGTGACTGAATCGGAGTAGTCATTAAATAAACTGGTCGAATAATGTTTTGTCGTCTTGTTTTGATTATCAGCGCCGACGAAATTGAAGTATTCTGAAATATGGTTGGCTGGCAGTGATCAGAAAGTATTTAACTTTGAATGTTATGACAGAATTGATTAAAAAACGTTTGATTTAAATCGAAATTTCTGAACCTGTTTTCGAAGTTTTGTAGTGTTTCTAAAATCACTTGATAGGTAGTATTAGCAAAATCTCTGTCGACTAGATTGTCTGCTGGTTTATCTTTCAAAATAAGAAGCTAAGTTTGAAAATTGCATGCCAAGACATTACCAAGTTAAATTAACATCGGAAGAAAACTTATCAAGCGGTAACGAAGCCGAAAATTCCTGAGCAGAAATCTTAAGAGAAAAGTTCAAAAATACGTAGAAACTAGTAAAAAAAATTTCAATTCCCTTCACCCTCGAAACACAAACGTTCACATAAATTTTTGTTTCTCAAACGACGCAATATGAGGCCAATAAGCCAATACAAGAAATAGAGTTGTTAAAATTGCCACCAACATGAAAAGCAAATTTCGAATTATACGGATATTTTAATGTCAACATGCTCAAAATGTCTGTTTGAGTATTTCCAACAGAGGGGACCATGAGATGAAACAAAGATATTTACGGGAAGAAAAAGTCTAGCACCTGGTTGCAATACACTTTTTATCGCAAGTCTAATAATAAATTCAAATCAATAGATAAATTCAAATAAAAAGATAGCACAGAATGTTCGAACCATAATTTCATGTTTTTTTTATAAGTAAGTGTTTTGCAAGTCATGTGATAAATGGAACTGAAGAAAATCTAGAGTTTAGGCATATTCGACAGTCAGAGTCCAATCGGGCAACGTCTATAGTCGAAAAATGACAAAAAAAATTAAAAATTATTTGAAAACTTTTTATTGTTTTTTGCAGAAATTGTTTTGAAATTTTGAAATTTTTTTATTCCGACAATGGCGATTGAAAAAACTTCGCCAAAAAATTTTACTGCAGTTCAACTAAAATATTAAGGTTTATTCTTCTTCAATAAACATGTTCGCTTGCTTTACTCGCTCGAAACTAGACTAAAACTAAAAAGTTTCAAACCGCCTCTTCTCGACACAGGGATGTGTTGAAAGTAGTTGGAATTAGGGCTGAAAAGATTTCAATATGATATATGAGTCCACCTATTACGATGATTAGTTGCGGTGAATACTTTTAATTGCATGTTAGACAGTCATTGTAAATCAGTAATTTGGACTATATTTTTTTGAAGAAAAATGACTAAAAAAAGGTAACAAACCTTCCAAAAAAAAAGGTAACAAACCTTCCAAACCTTCCTTTCTTATTTATATGGATGGTTAATTTTGAAGTTTTTGATACCCAAATTGTTCTTTTAAAATATAAAAACTGATTTCACTTGTGTAAAACTAATTTTAGGCACAATTAAGCTTTTGTTAACGGCTTAAGTTAAGCATAAATAAGCCTGCTTGCTCGCTTCATTCGCTCGGAATTGGACCGAAAAGCAAAAACTTTAAACGGGTCTTTCTCGACACAGTAAATCTTTTCGAAATTTTAAAAAGTTCGAATCACGATTTAAAGGGTTTTTGTATGATGTATCAATCAACACCTTTCGAGCTTTATTTGTGGTACCTGATTTTGGTGGAAAACAAAAAAGAAAGCTAAACACCCTATTACAAAGCTCTCCCCCTTTTTTAAATGGTTGGAGCAATAACGTTTTTTTTTGTATATGTAGCTCAGAGGTTACACCCATTATTGGGAAGAAAAGGTGCTGGGTTTGACTACAGTCGAGTGCCGATTTTTTTTTAAAAATGGTATTCAATGCTTGCCAAAACTGTTTATGAACCTCATCCTAGACAAAGTTATGAAAATTTTACAGATCGTTTTTTTCTGTTCAATATCTTGTAATGCAATGTTTTAATTGTATCCCAAGTGCTGCTAAGTTCCACTTCGTCTCTGTGTTGGCATCTGCTTTCGAAATGAAAAGATTTCGCAGTGGAATAAAAAATTATCTATCGGCCCAGTTTTCTCAAATTCATTATTTTTTCTCTGCTTTCCCGCGGTCATTGACTCTTCCAACTGTCTGCTGGGTTTATGGCTTTATTCTAAAAAATGTTCGGCTTAACTGTCCTCTTCCCAATTTTTTCTGCCTAGCTACCGCTTGATGAAGTTCGTTTTTTTTTTCTAGATTTAACAGGCAAATGTACTTCTCGAAATTTTCTTTTAGTCAACTTTTCTTGAAATAAACGCTCAAAAATTGTTTTTACAGTCGAACAAAATGAAAAATGTAAAATAAAATGTTTAAGCAATAGTGATATTAATCTTTTTCTTTCAGCTAGCTACCGTGCTAATTAAATGTTTTATTGCAAAATGTTCTGTGTGTAAAAACCGGTTATGTTTTACAATAGGTGGCAGATTCAAATGGCATTGCTGGATCGGTCTTTACTATACTTCGAACAGTTTTATAAGTTATTTCCAAGTCAAATATTTTGGAAAAAGAATTGTAATATTTGAGTTTTTGAATGACTTCATATGGCAGAGTAATGTATTTTAAAAAAACTACTTTAGTAGCTTTCACAATTATTGATTGAAAATGAAATGACTATATTATGCACTGTTTAAATATTTCTCAAAATTGCCACCCACCTATTGTTACATCTCACCTAAAAATCTTTGCAGAGCACGCATACAAATTTTTGTTGATCGTGAATCCACTGAATTGATGTTTCAATGCTCAAATCAAGTTGACAGCGTGATAATAAAATATTTTTTGATTGATCCACTAGGTAATCTTACTTTTTTCAGTTTTTTGTTCCTGTTTTCTGAGACTATCGAGATGTCAGTCACAGTCGACGAGCTCCGCACCACGAGCGACGTTGATTTGGAGCGACAAAATGCGAAACTTCAAAACACACATCATATAGTACATTCACTTGTATCTCCTGTTGAAAATGTGAAAAAGTTAGACTCCTCAGAAGTTGAGAAGATTAATAAAGATATGAAAATATTCGAGCTGACTGAGCAGCAAATAGAACTTCTTCTATCTGGGTCTGATTTTTACACCATAAAAGGAAGTGACAGCGAGAGTTGTGGAGTCTTTTCACGGGACAAGTCGTTCACGTTGCGAAGTGGGGAGACGTCAAATACTTTGCTGTTCGCGTCAGATATTACTTTGCCCAAAGAAGGTGTGTTTCGTCTTTCTCCTAAAATCATTTGAAAAAAAAATTACACGAGAAATTGCAATGACCTATTTTCAACAAATAATGGACATAATAATGATTGACAGAATTTCTAGTGCGACTTCACGTTATTACTTAAATAGGATTTACGAAATAATGCTTCATTTTTTTTTCAGGCAGCTCAACCCCTGAAAAGGTCACTGAGGTAAAATCAACTCTTGTAGAATGTTCCTCACAAGTATATTACGAAATAACAGAGGGTCGACCAAAACTATCACGTGCTTTATCTTTGCTCAAGCCTGCGAGGCTCAAACTGAAAAGGAATGAAAGTGACTCCACAAATTCGGAAGAGGAGTACAAATCATACACCTTTTCAGAGCTAAGCTGCCTAATCCAAGCAAGTGACTCTGAACTCAGACAATATTTAACTTACCGAAATGTGATGAATGTTGAAAGAGCAAACTTGGAACTTAAGCTACTGGACGATGCTTATTACTCCCACGTTGCGATGATGATTCTGAGACGACTTGAGGAGGAGTCATACAACGTCGGCAAGGTTCCGAAAGATGACTGCTTGGACTGCCTCAAAACATTAGAACCTAGTGATGTCTTGGAGTTTGTCTTTGAAAAACTTTTCATCAAAAATAACGACGAGAATGTTTCGGGCGAGCTTTATAAGTTAAACGATAAAAACGTATGCAGATTATTCGCATATTATCTTTTATCAGGTTTTGACAAGATGTGTCTGGAACAATTTGAGCAGGTGATTTTAGAAAGCCTTCCTGATGGAGTTGACTGGAATTATGATTATGTTAATGACTGTTTGATCACGTTGGAAGCACCTCAGAAAAATCGAGAAGTTGTGACATTTGTTAAGTGAGTCCTAATTCCAAGACTAAGTTTCTACTAAGTGATTTATCTCTCCCCATAATCAAAATTCACTTGGTTAAAAGTGATATTTTCAGCCAAAAAGAATTCAGCACAGTACATGCAGGCCTTGCTACTTGAATTTGTCATTTAGGGGGAGATTGTTCACTTGGTCTATCTAGGGGAGAGATTGTTCGCATGGGCCCTACTTTTGATAATCGATGCTTAAAAATTTTCCGAAGGCGACTTGGCGCCAATATATTTTAGTTTTGATGGGGAGCGCTGGCCATAAAACGCAAAGTTTTGATTTTTTTGGATCAACCGTACAATTTGCATGCTGCTAGTTACCTAGATTAATGTTTTAATGCAAATTTTTTTATTAATACGGTTAATTGTGAACATCTAGGCTATACTCAAAGTTAGCTTATCAAAAATCTATATTTTCCCCCCTTAATCGATTTGGGGGGGGGGGGGGGGGAATTGGGCGGTTGATCTATTTTTTTAAACCAAATACCACCGAGAAATGCCTTAACAAAGTACTTTTGGACTGTTTTGTTTTCTTAAAATTTGCAAAATTTTTCAGCAAAAAAATGATTTTATAGTATATTGCGAAAGCTGGGAAAATCAATTTAAGTCTTTTTGAAAAAAAAAATTGAAATCCACCCTCGAAGAAATCCTAGATCCACGCCTGAGGCAATCAATTCGGATCAAATCGGTCATTACTTTTTCCTCTGATCATTTATCAAATTTCCTAACCGTAATTGTCCATACATGTAGGCTTTTTGTCTATACAAAAAACGACCTTATCGGATTGTATTTTTGGCTTGATGAGTTATGCAAATTTTTATCAGCTGTCGTATATGATTTTCGCTTACAGAAACGCATACGTATTTTGTCTCGATCTATGTAGATATTTCCCAGAATGGGAGATGACTGATGACCCTCCTGAAAAGCGACTGGCCGAATTGTGGACAGCCAAGGGACCTAATGGCAAGTGGTCATTGGCACAACTTACTCCATTTTTGCTACCAGCTGTCGGGTTCAAGACACAAGGGGTAACTGCGTTACTAGCCAAGTATGCAAAGAGTGTCACTGACCCAGTTACAAAACATAAAGTCTATTTCAAAAGATACTGAGTGATATCTGGACTTCAAAAAGTTATATTTGGCAATATATTTGGCAAGTTTTATTTCTATTGTTCATTTTGACTATATTTGTTACTTGTTCAATTGATTTGTTGTTTGTTTTTAATAGTGTATTTTTCTTGATTAATTAATTTATCTGGCTTCGTTTTGATTTTTTTGGTCAAACATTCTGAGACTGAAGTGTAGGTATGTGGTAAAGGTTGTGGCTAAAAAGAGATGCAGTCTTGAAGTGATTAAATTACAAAATTCGAATTTTCTGGTTATTATACCTAATGATACACTATAATGCTCTGGAGTTTGAACAACGACCATGAAAGATTCTGAAACTGGTCCAAATTTACAACGCCGATTCAGCGTTTGAGTAGATATTTGACAGAATTTCTTCTATTTTTGCTGCAGTCAATGGACGCAAATTTGCCTGTGTGAAATCATCATGAGTCGCTTGTTGAGCCATACTAGCAATGTCTTCTTTTTTGATACTCACCTCTTCTAAAGTTTGCGGCATTTTCAAATCTTTTATAAACTCGAACAGAGCGTTGTATGGAAGTTGCTCTCCACTGAAAACGTCTCCGAGGTCCGCTTTCATTGATGGTGTCATTGCATCCCAGTTGTATTTGATGATATGTGGGGCCATGATGCATGATGTATGGCCGTGTATAATCCCATAAGCGCCCAATATGTGCCCAATTCCGTGACTTCCCCCCAGCGGAACACTTTGAGTGAGGCCAGTAATTGAGAGCCAAGCGCCTAACAAGCAGTTGCGTCTGGCTTCGATTCCCGAAGAGTCGGTAGCGGTAGATTTCTTCAAGTTTTCCAGCAGTAGCTTGAGGCTCTAAAACATATTTAAAGTGACAACTATTTACTTGCTAAGATACTGGATAAAATAAGCATGGAATTTATGAACTGAGCTTGCATATTCATCCAATGTATTAAGAACAGAGGCCATAGATATTTTTCTATTTCATGCTTTATCTGCTGCTACTAATCCAAGCCCAATGTAGTTCATTTTTTTGATAAAATTTCACCTTTTTGCAGACAGTGTCGGCTAATATATTGCTCATGGGCGAGCATATGGTCTCAATACTGTGGTCTATAGCCCTCACTCCAGACGAGATCCAGAGATACTCTGGAGTGTAGAGTGTGACCGAAGGGTCCAATATGACCACATCTGCCACCAGTTTATCATGCAGGTACCTAAAATGGTTTCAGTTGCGTAGTCAGAATGAAAAGACCTTGTGTAACGTAGAACCTTGTGAAATGCTTAGTCATTCTTAATGTTTCTTATCTTAATTTCGATTTGATATCTGTTTTGCATTTTGGGCAGACTGAAAAGTGAACCATGGTCTCGTTTCGTTATCTGACTCCTCCAAGTCTCAATTAAATGTATTTTTTTTGTGTCAGGACAAAAGATACCATACCAAAAGCTCCCATGACAAAAGATACCGTACCAAAAGATCCCTTGTACAAAAATCGCCCATACCATAAGATCCCATGTCAATTAAAAAGATCCCATGAATTATGAACAAAAGTCCTGATCAAAATGTAATCAGAAATAATCAAAATATAATCAGAAATAAAGCTAGAGTAATAATATCTCAATTAAGTTCGCGCTATTGAACAACGAACGCAAATCTAAGATAATTAAGTTTAAACTGGACTCATTTTTGGGATTAGTATAAAGCCAACATGTGTTTAATTTAGTATTAATATATCTATGAATTGGAACAACTCAATTGAAAATTTATACACTCTGAATTCATTATCTCACTCTTTAACTCATTGAACAGTCAAAAATGAATTCTTTTACCTGGGGAACCTCACAAAAAGGCCAAACACTGATTATTGTTGACGGCCATGAATTTTAGGACAAACGCGATACGAAGACAACAACACTGGCGCTGCACTAACTGGAGACCATATAAGTGCCCCAAAACTTTAATCACTTCTGGGAGCGATATAATCTCAAATAGCAACGAGCATAGTCACGAGCTCAACGCAGAACTAGTCACGAGCTCAAGCTCGGGAACTAGTTCAGCAAATGACGGAGACAGTTAGGAATCAACTAAATCCAGTAAACAGCCAGATCATCGCAGCTAGTTTGCAATTGGTGCAGGACGACGAAGCCACCCAATTGTCTTTGCTCTCCCGGCCGACGATAATGCGAACTTTGAGCAGAAGTAAACAAACGACATCACTGCTCACTATTGCCACAGATGACCGTCATTTCGAAATACAGGATTGTTTTCAGCTTTTTTTGTCTTTTTGATAGCGGAAAACAAGATAAGCAACGCATATTGATTTTTGGCTAAATTGAGAACCTCAATGAACTTAAGTTGTACACCACAACCTAGCTTGTAGACGGTACTTTCAAAACTTTCCCTAGTCAGTTTTACCAATTGTACATTGTACACATCTAATTTGGCGGGTTTTATCCACATTGCGTCTACGCTCTGCTCAGCAATAAGCGCTTATCAACCTTTAACAAGTTCCTAACCGCACTTAAATCGCTATCGGTGACTTAATCCCGGAAAGAATTTTAATCGACTTTGAAATTTCGGCATTGAGTGCTTTTGCGTCTCATTACGAAACTGACATTAAGGGATTCTATGTTCACCTCTGTCAGAGCTTTATGCGGAAAATATACGAATTTGGCTTTAAAAAGACTTCCGAATCAAACAGCTAGCTAGTCTTAGCGCTGAATATGGTTCCTGTTCTTAGTTTTGTGTCGGAGTCGAAAGTGTAAATCGGGTTCGACCTAGTAATTGAGGAAATATGCAGTGTGGCAACCAAACTGGATAGATCACAAAACGATCTCGAAAAATTATTCGAGCTCACGGCTTTGATTGGCCGAAATACACTCTTCCCTATTTCTTCTTGGAACAATTATCAAAATGCTTTAAGATGTCTGGCCCGAACCATAAATTCAGATGAAGGGTGGTATCTAGGTGTAACCGCTTTGTTTCAAGGCAGCCATCCTTCAATATATACGTTTCTTGAAAAAATTCAACTGGGTTCCTACAATAAAAAATTCAACTTTTTGAAGGCATTCAGCGGTACTATCAACTTATCCCGGAAAAATACCGTGACCTGAATGAAAAAGTTTAACAGATAAATAGTTCATACACAGGCTCTAAAATTTTGTCTTACATCCGTTCACTTGCCTATTTAACCTATACAATTTAGTTTTAGTTTCTGCATAGTTTCGAAATTCATGTTTGTTTGATCAACTTTTTATAGATGTCTCCTTGCACCCTCGCGGAGAACGCCAAAACCGAATACTACGACTCGCTTTCGAAAATGCTGTCTCTAGCAATTTGATCCCAGAGCAATTGCCCTTATTTACGGGACGGTAGGTTGGGTGTAAGGGCCTGACGGCCCTTTGAGTATTGCGTCTAGCGAAAAAATAGTTGATCAAAATTGAGAATTGATATTTTTTATCGAATAGAATGGCAAGTGATTTGTAATAAAATGATTTCAAAAATTTAAATTTTGCAAAAACTTAATTTCAATTTTGTACAGACTTGAGTTATCTGAAAAATCAGGTCATTTTTGGCAAAGTTGGTTTTGATAAATTGGAAACCCTTTTCAAGTTCATTTGTTATCTAAGCTGTTTTGAAGTTTGAGTTTCAACTTGAGAGCCAAGTGATTAGCAAGGTCATTTATGTTCGAAATTTGTGCACCAAAACTTTTGCCGTTTTTTTGATTTTAGCCGACGCTTTGTTTTTGATTTGAGGCACTTAGCATAGTGGTAAGGCGTTCACTTTGAAATCGTCAGATCGTGTATTCGATTCCATGCCATGGCAATCATAGTGTGTAAAGATCAGCTCTCACTTGTCCTCTAGCTTCAGGTCTGCCACAACCTGACCAAATTTGGCTGCAATAGTGGTACCAAGTGAAAGTTCTAGACGCAAAAAAAAACGGCCTTGTATCGCAAGAGCTTCGCTCAACAAAATAACAGTCTGGAATGCGGGGAGATAATGCAAATGGACTATCTTCGACAGGACTATTGCGACCTACTGATAGATCCTCTGCGTTTCGCAGGAACTACATTATTATATTATTATTATTATTTGATCGATTAACCGCTTTATTTTCAATTCTCAGCTTCTTTGTTATTGTATTATGGTATCTTATGTCGTGGGCAATTTTAGAACGAGGTATCTTTTGGAATGGTATCTTATTGACTCGGATCTTAAGGTAAGAGATCTTTTGTGGTGTAACCAAATTTTCATTGTTCTTACCACTGAAAGTCTGAACGAATTCCAGTTTCGAAAACAATACCGAAGTTTCTGCATTTTTTGATATTTCGTAAGTTGATAAGGTTTGATTGATTATTAGACTTCAATACAGCCAATAGTAGCAGAGGCAGTTTTAGATTTTTCTTGAAAGTGGGGCGGTTTTTCAAAAAAAATTAATTATTGTCAATGATTTATTTACGTCAACCAATTTGATAATCCAAAGTCTCCCTAAATACTACAACGCCCTTTTTCGCAAAACATCTTCGCTGCAGGCAATTTTTTGAGAAAAGCCATACACACTGTTTCTGAGCACGTTTTAGAATTTGATCTATTTGGAGTTCTTTGACGCGCACTCATAAATTCGATGTATATTGCCCATTTAGAAAAATCTTAGGGCTGGTTGATCGAAATTGGGTGTCGTAAAGTAGTACCAAAAGAGTACCCTTTGGGTGACCAGGGGGCCGAATGCCGTTCAACCTAACTGGGGGTCGAAGTCCGCTACTAGTACAAAGTTCTATGTTGTGAGCAGTACGGTTGTTTAAAATAGTAACAATTTACCCAAACTTGAGGCCTTTCTGTGTGTCTTTTACACCGGCTATGAGCGAAAACTCCCCCGCCGAAAGGGTGGTAGGTACATTAATCACCAACAAATCCGAGTCAAAATCTGCCGAAACTAGGCTGAACAAATTCGAATCTCTGTGAAATCTTTGAAACCCCGATGAGTCTTGGATGTTGTAAGTTATACAGAGCCGAATCGCTTTGGCGGCGTCAGTTATAGAGCCACCTCCCAGTGTTACAACACACTTGCATTTACTTTCTTTGATGAGATTCGCTGCACGAATACATGACCTGTCAGTCGTATGTTGCTCAATTTCCATGAAAAGACCACCAAATTTGTCCGTTTGTTCCAATTTCTCCACTAAGCTAGAAACGATGTCAGAGTTTTTGTCCAGGCTTTTGGATGCCAAGATGAACACTTTTCTGTCTCCGATTTCCTCTAAAATAGATTCGATGTAGTTTTTGTCGTAAACTACTTTTTGACAAGTTGTCATTCGTTTGGCCATTTTCCCAGGTGACATTTTGAAGTGAAGATAAATAAAGGAGCTGAATTGAAATTTCACATACAATCGGGGTGGAACTCTTTGTTTTGTTAAAACATCTTTTTTTTCGTAAAAGAGTTTTTCAAATAGCTTCGAAAAAACGTGTACTTGTCTTGTACTAACTTTTAGCCGGTCGAAGATTGTGAGCTTAACAACACAAATTTACATAATGAGATTGAACCAATTATTTTCTTCAGATTTATCTTACAGAGCGGTCAATCTAAGTTTCTCGAACTCTCAGCGTTCAAAGTTTTGATGGTCAGTTCCTGCAAAATTTTCTGATTTGTCCTAAACTTGATCCAAATTTTACGATCAGTGATGCATATAATTAAAAACGCTATGGAGACTATTGAACGCTTAAAACTTTCAGTTTGTTGTTAATTTAGTAATGAGAGGATACTGAATTGGTTAATACGACATATGAACCACATTTTTAATTGATGCAATGTTGGAAAAATCCCAAAAAATTAGATATGGAATTCTGTCTGAAGTTTCCAGTCTGAGAACTTATAAATCTAAAAAACAAAAATTCTTGTCATGGAAAACGTCTTTAGAATCCGAATTTTGGCTGAAAAAGCTTCAATACCATACCACACTTGATCATCTAAGAATTTTTATTGAGGTCTTCAAAAAGGTAAGAGGGCAATTCGTAATAGGCGACAATTTGTAACAGGTTACTAAAGGGTCAAGGAAACGGACCCTTTGTGATAGTTCCCTTCCACTTTGTGAAGTTACCGGAACAATGATACCAAAAATAATAATAATGCTGATGTAAAAATGAAAAATAATGACCTCAGTGAAATCAGAGATACCGAAAATTGAAAGCGATGAATAAAAATTATTGGTTATTTTGATACCATCACAAGCTCGTGATGAAAGAGTTATGAGAGAAAAATTCTACACAGCAAAGCTGAACTTGTTCTGTAAATGCAAATAAAATTAACTGTCTATCGCTTATGACAAGTTACTGAAATTTCTTGAACTAAAAATCTTGAATTTTTCAAGTTTTGAGGATGCCGTTGGAAGAGCCAATAATCATTTCTTTACATTGATAAAAACAGTTAGTTTAACGACAATGATAAATTGGCTAACTATTAGAGCAAGAAAGTCGATTGAAACTTAAATAATTCAATAGAGAGCCAAACAACTTAGTAAACTCTTAGAATACTGAAGATACGCAAAGCAGAACCAATAACTGACTTATAAATTGTATTTAAAAAAAACTAAGTTATAAAAAAAATGGCAAGGTTTTCTGTTATACAAGCAGAAACTTATTAGTAACTATCAAATCATTTCAAAACATCAAAAGCGACTACAAACAAGTATAACAGGTGGTACTCATAGTTCGAACAGTAGGTTTTTTAACAAAACATCTAAGATAAAATAAATCAGTTAAAAAATCATCATAAGAATGTCTAAAATTTTTCATTACAAATCTTTTTTCCTCAATAATTGTAATCAGAAAAAAAATCACTTTTAATAAAAACAAACAAAATATTTCTTTCATCTTGAGCAAATTAAAACGTAGGAAACAAAAAAACTTCAAAAAAATGTACCAGTATGCTACGAATGAGATATTCAACTTTTTCTATAAAAATAAGTGTCATCAAATCAATTTCATTACAAAAAAATTTATGGATAAATGAAATGTGCAATCTAATTTTTATTACATAGATTTTCAGAATTTTTTTTTCGTTCCCTGACTCAAATCACCAAACATTTGAGCAAAAATTGAATTCTCAAAAAATGAGGGGTCTGTTTAGATTTAATGACAACTGAACCGAAAAAAACTAACATGAGGAAAAAGTTGGAGTGTTTCCAAAACCCTTATCCATTTTGCTGATCCATCATATTAATACGCTGTATGCGAGAGCAATGAATGTTAAAATGGTATTTTTGTTATGCTTAGCTTGTCAAGGCATTTTTATTATCTTTTACTAATTCATTTTTCAACGATCGCTACAACTTCTGAATTCTCAATTCAAAACTCAAATTTAATTTCAGCGTCTTGGAAGCTGCTTCAAGAGAAGTTTGCAGTGTAGAGAGGACGAAGGCGATCAGTTAAGTAGACCTGATTAAAAAACTGTGCTTAGGATCCAAGAAGGATCTCGGTGACTACTTCTTTTGCAGCCACAGCCAAGAGTTAATGACACACCCTTCAAGGCTCTGGCAATCAATGGGCTGCCTGACAGCTATTAGCATCATGTGGTGCTGGAGAGCTTTTATCCAGCCAAGAAGTTTTCAGAGCTGAGAACAAGATTGAGGAACTACGATGAGTTGAGGTTGATGTGAAGACTGGGCCTGGTCATATATCCATGCAAGCTGTAAGGATGAAGAAAAGAACGCCAAATAGTGGCTGCTTTGTGTGCGGTTAAAGGGGCATACGACATACGACGGAAGACTGAAAATCCAGAAATGACAGTGGGTTGTCAAGTGGTCGAGGCAATATGTCGAACGAAGCAAAAAGGGTCGCGTGCAAATAAGCAAGATTGCTTCAAATGTGGGCAACCTGGATATTCCGCAATGGACTGCAAGGAGGACCTGACGCTCCACGACGTATTGTTTTTGACAAGCTAAAGTGTGAACCTAATTAGTGTGAATTTTGCGGTGACAAGAGGTTGAAGCTTTAGTTTTGCCGCAGAAGCTTTCACATCCACTGAAACCAGATGGGGGAAAACTGCTTGTGAACAACAGGAAAAAAGTTTTTGGACTGAAAATTGAGAAGCACATTTAGAAATCCAACTGTGTACTGGATAGGCGCTCAGTCATGTGTTTGTTGTTGGTCTCTGAAATCCAAAGACATATCTTTAAATCTGTAAAAGGTTTATCAGAACGATTAAAAAATGATTGAACAAATTGAGTATAAATAGAACGTTCTTGTTACCGAATCCGCCTAAAATTCACAAGATACCTAGTTTAACCTCTCAATGAAACTCGCTCACTCAAGTGACGAAGACAGAGAGAGCAAACAGTGATGCAATGCTGTGGCATCGACGACTGGGGCAACTCAACCAGTAGGATCAATCATCACTCAATTTAGACGAGCTAGAGGTCTGCGAAATGTGTACAGCTTCAAAAAGGCTTAAAGTAGCAGTGCCAAAGAAGATTTATGGCAAATCATAGGCAGTGAGGCAACTGGTCTTCAGTGACTTCCAGGGACCATTTGAAAAATCAAGCATGCATGGGGTACGCTATGTCTTGAGCTTCATCAAGAATTTCAGCCGGCTGGCTGTGGCCAAGTACCTGGTGAAGAAGAAGGATGCTCTAGTAAAGTTTCAGGCAGGAGTTTGTGGCTGAGCATGGAGCGCCGAAATGGTTGCGAACTGCAATGGAGTTGGGTTTTAGTCAAATTCACGCAAGAGATTTTGTAGAGAATCCCAGGTGATACAAGAGTTACTTCTCAACACAATAGTGTAGCAGAGCGCTACAAAAGATTGATCACCGAGATGACTCGATGTCTGATGGCTGAAGCAAAAATAACAGATATTCTGGATGCAAGCATGGTCGACCGTTGTCAGGGTTTGCAACTTGTGTACTGCAATCAGCATTGAAAAGCCTCTGTCTTTGACAGTGCTGCACCATGGTATACCATCAAAGTGAGGTATTTGCATGTGTTTGGCTGCTTCGCGTACTATTTGGATTGAGGCAACAGACGAAGCTATAGTCAAAAAGAAAGATAAAAAAGCAAATTCAGCGGTTACGACAAGGAGAGCAAAGCCTGCTTGCTGATGGATCAAGAAACAAGACGAGTGGTGCGAGCAAAAACCGTGATATTCAATGATTACATCAACACAGATGACTTCATGATTGACAGCGAGCCATTGCAAAATCTGGAGCAGTTGAGCGAGGAGTGGGTTGTTATTCGGCAATCAAGCACAACAAAGACCACCAAAAATCCCAAGCACACCAACTTAAGTATCAGGTCCAGGAGAAAGCAGTATGTTTACATTCTACTGAGAATCCACTGCTTTTTTCGATAGGAACTCACCCTTTCGATACCGGTTGTTCTATACTATGCTTCAACGGTTGGAATCCAGGAGCCAGTGGGCTGTTTAAAAGCAGTATCTGAACCCGAAAAAAAGTGCTGGCAGTCATGGCTATGGAAATAAATTTTCTAGAAGCAATGGGAACATACACACATGTTGATAGACCACGATCTCGGAAGGTAATTCCTAGACGACGGTTTCTTGCTGCTAAGTGTTACGCTATAGGACAAAAAGAGCGGTTCAAAGGCCAATATTTAATTAAAAAAGGGGAAGGACTTGACTTCAATTAGCAATTGATCCGGCAAAGTTGAAAAGAAGAGGATACTACTGGCTTCCACAAGGTAAACTTACACATTATCAGATTAAAGCTAAATGAGCTTCCTCAACTCTCCTCCAACAAATACAGTGTACAGGGATTCAACCAAGAGGGTTCAGCAGCGGTGGTAACGAAGTAGCTCGCTGAACGTAACCTCTGTGGGCTGCGGCAGGCAAGCAGTTACTGATACTAGACGCTGAGTTCTTTCCTTCTTGATGAATGATTTACGATAGTTGACAGAATCTCATTGTCTTGGCTCTTCGGAATGATATCAAAATTCGGTCCGGAATCTTAAATCATTGATATCTTGCCAATACAACGTTGTAAAAAATTGAAAAAAAGAGCCTTCATCTTTGTTTCAGAAAATTTAAAGCATTCAACAGGTGGCTATCGTTTTAAAAAATTACATTTTTCAACTACTCCCGAGCGTTTTAAAAAGGCATTGGCGTCTTAAATGTCAATTATCTTATCTCATTGAAACACTTCAGGTCGTTTTTTGATTACTTGAATGTTCTGTCGCGAATCTGATTGCACTTTTCTCTTTGATGTTTTGTCCTGTTCTCGCTGCTGTTTAGTCGGAACACCAGGCAAATATTCGCTACAGCATCGGAATGTTTTTTTCCTGATCATATAAAATTGAGGAGAAGTCAGTGTTGTTTTCAGGTGTAATTTTGTTTTTTTTTTATCGTTTTCCAAGCAAAATCAGGTACCAAACTAACCATCGAAATGACTCGAGAAATCTATTATATACATAGCTTTTTCAGTCGTAGTTCAGTCGTAACTTTGAGAGAATAAAGGCAAGCGAGGAGGCTTAAAAGGCTTTTTTCTAGCCTAATTCATCCGCAAAAATTTAGTTTTACTTGAGTAAAATATTTTTTTTTGTGATTTTCAGCAGCGAAATTTGAGTAACAAAAAATTTCAAGAAAAATCTGCTG